GTTTTTTCCATACTAATATAGGGTATCCACTATGGATTGACGCGGAATTTTGACCTTTGAGGATTGACGCCAACATAAAGTGACGGTTGAGGGTTTTGACGGGAAAAAATTCGCACCGCGTGTGCCCGTTGACACGTGAGAGGTGCAAAAAAAAAAAATGGTGGAGGTAGAGTTCAAGGTTGGTTCGGGCTGCCACCCAGGGTCGACATTCCGAAGCGAAGACTCACACCCCCAGGCTCCCAGGAGACTAGGTGTACCCCTTCGCCTCATCCCGCCGACCTTCCCTCCTTTGCCGCGGCGACTTTTCCCAGGCGTCAAACTGCGACTTCCCAGGCGTCAAACTGCCGTTCGTTGCTGATGAGTAAGGCAGCTGCTCGCTGCACTGCTGTGTATATACCGATGTCACTGCGGCAGCAGAGCACCGAACCCCGTGAGGGGGCGGGCGAAATGCACCTACTGACTGGCAAAGTCCGTGTACCCTCCCTTACTCCTCTCCATGTGCTCCTGTGAGTATACATATAACATGATCTGCCTCGAACATGGGGTTTTGGTCAATTGGCGATGACGCCATCCAATGTCACGCAATAGCCGGCCGCCCCTCCCCGTCGTGACAATCTCCTTGAAAACCTTTGCGACATGGGTTTGAGGCTCGATCCATGGCCACGGACATGCTATCAATCAAGTGCCAAAATCATACCATCAAGCAGGGAGTGCTCATTACGTTAGTTCACAAGGAAGGTCAGACTTCACCGTCGGCGAGGGCATTGGAATACCTCTCAGGAAGATGGCAACCCCGCAGAAAACAAAGCAGGGGAAACGCGGGGAGCAAAACCATGAGCACAAAATCAATGGTATCGTGGCCTTGCTCCTGTGTAATCCTGGCTGTAAAAAAACACAACTGAAGCGTAGATAAATGTAATCTGACTTGCGGAATGGGATAAACTCACACAAGGTTGGCCAAAAGGACGGCGTACAGTCCAAGACCCTCAACAGCCGTGGGTGTGTGCCAGGCCAACACACCATCCGCCACTGCTGTACTCTATCAGGGGCACCTTACTACTGAGGGGCACCCGCAATCGACACAGAGCACGAAATGACTTGATTGATCGACGGCGTAAGGTACAGCTATGGCTCAGTGATGCCATTTTCAAAAAAGCGTGTATCTACAGTGGCTTGCCCCGGCGACGAGGGTGACAAGCATGATTGATTCACGTTGTGGAATGAGAGGAAAACACTGGTGGTCGCTACTACTGCTGTATCCATCGATAGCACATTTTTGTGTCGGCACAACAGTGTAACGGGCACAGGCGGCAATTTCTTGTTGTGTCGCCCTTATGTGATAAGCCTCTTTCCGATCTCCGCTCAGATTGCTCTAACAGCTACCGGTTTACCTGACGCGGACAGCTTCCGTGGCCACAGGCCAACTACCCAAATTCCGGGTACCTCACACTGCTCGAAAGAAACCCGGGCGCAACAATCGTTAATGGATGACAAATAATGAAACACTGGTATATATGTATAGACTATATATATTTTTTTCTGTATGTACACCGTCCGACAAACCAGTGAGTCAAGTACCGTGGGTAGCGAGAAATTTTTACTATTAACGACCGGTCGCCCCGGTGGTCTAGTTGGTATCTTCGAAACCTTCTAGGGGTCAGGTCAGGGGTTCGAATCCCGGCATAAGCGAGCTTTTCTTGCGAAGTGAGTTTTTGTCTCGCTTCCGCTCCTGGTCTGGTCGATAGCGCTAGTTCGTGTGTACACAGAGGGAAGAGAGAGAGTGCTGAACTCTTCTCGCATTAAAAATCGAAGGCAAAGTACCGCAGGAGGGGACGGTAGAGAGGTGTGTCCACGGGTTGAGTAGACGGCACAAGTGCTGTGAGCGCTGACTTGAAGTGAAGACAAAAAAAAAAGAAAAATTGTTCACTCCGAGAGAGATAACTGCACCACCTGCTTACACACATTCATGATGTATCACACATAAGTTTAGTGAAACGAGGATACCCATTTGTTTGCGTAGTCTAGGACTCCGGGTGCCCGGCCATGAGACGTCTGGGGAGAAATACTGCAGAGGGCTGTTTGGCGAGAAGGTGAACGAAACCACAGTTAGTAGTCTATCTACAAGTATGTACATATATTTTTTTACTATCTTTGACACGTAACCTTTGCGGCAACCAGGCTTACATAGACATTCGTCATGTATGCATTCGACGCCCACGTGACGATGAAGCAATTATCCAATATGCCGGAGAGCCGGGTGTACGTGGACCTGGGAAAAGCGGAATAAGCTGTGAATTTGTTTTCAACCATCTGTCGACGGGCATTTCAGAACGAACCGAACGAACGTCAGCAGATACAATAATTGAAGCCAAACCTCAACCTTCGACTATTGCGGAACCGGATTGGGTGTGCTATTATACTAGCTAGCAGCTCGGTGGGGAGAAAGTACTGGGAACTGACATATGATATTCGATCCAGAGGCAACGGGTTTTTGCCTGCGAATCCCCGACGCACACACACAACCAAAACACCAGAATATCTCATCTCCGCAGATTCAGCCGCAACCCTTCAAAAACCACCGGTGCAGCGAATATGATAAGCAGCAGTTGTGTGTCCACGATTCACCATCAGTGGCTGGTGTAGGCAGCTACGACACGGTGCACACAGGTAGTAGGTAGAGCAGCGAGCGACTCTCCCGGCCTTGGCACCTACCCCGAAAGTCCCGTTCTCTCCGACGTACTCGAGCGCGTCGCACAGGCCCTCAATCGCCCTGCTGCCTGTGGCGACCTCCACGACAGACAGCGTCAAATTTCCATCCAGCGAAACCTTAGAGGCGTCCGGAAAGGTCGCCGCCAATGCCCCACCGTTGATATCGTCCACGGCGAGCCTCATGACCGACCTCAGTGCCTTGGAGAGCGGGAAGTATCCGCTGGTGGTGTTCCTCTCCGGGAGAGTGAGAGCAACGAGTGATGTATCGGCATGCACAGCAGGAAATGTTGCTGCCGACAAGAGGAGAATTAGCGAGATGCCGACAGACACACCGCCCCCGCCGCAGGCTGCAAGTCTACGGCCCCGCGTGAGATTCGAAGCTCCCAGAGGGCACCTGCTAGGGCCGGCGGGGATCAGCATCGCTTCTTACACACCCTCAGTAGGTGTAGACTAATTATCGGAAGCTCTTCAGCTAAATAGCTGGTCATGAGTGGAAGAGGGATCGATTCGCCGCTCCTCTTGTTCGTGGTTGGCACCAATAATCAGGTGAAGTGAGTGGCATCGGGGATCGAGCGGCAGATAGTCTTTTCGGTCCGCTCGTTTGGCACTGTTGCTATACATATTATAGATGCGTAGTCTACGGTATCCAGAAGTTTAACGGACGTTGTGCGTCGCTTGCAAAGTTTGTTTGTTTGGTGCTTTTCTTCAACCCCGCCGCACAAGACACCAGATCTACCGTGATGGTTGGCTATGCTGGTAATCCCTATCACACGTACGTGTATGTATGTACGCTTGGATGGAGTCTTGAGTCTATCGCTTGTTGTGCGTCTGACTACTGCTCGTGTGCACATGCATGTGTCGATATCTCACCGACGGAGGAGGTACATACGAGACTCCCTGTCTGCAGGGGACTACGTGCGTTCACGGTTATTGTTTAAGTGTGGTGCGTATCACGACGCGTTGGCGGTCTTGGTCTTTTGAAAGTCTTCTCCTATATATCGTCATGGGGCAACAAGAGGACTACATGTAGAGAAGTAGAGAGAAGTACACTCAAGGTAAACTTGTAGGAAGCGAAGTACAACGCATTCAATCAAGATGTTGCATGCCGACACCGCCCCCTCCCTGAAGAGAGACAGAGCAACAAAAGACCGCCTTGTACTAATAGTGCCATAATCTATCTATGTCATATCAATGTCTGTGAATTGAGCGATTCCGAGATCGGATGGTTATGTTTTTTTTTTTTTGTCTTCACTTCAAGTCAGCGCTCACAGCACTAGTGCCGTTTACTCAACCCGTGGTCACACAGAAGGGCCCCTCTCTACCCTCCCCTCCTGCGGTACGTTGCCTTCGATTTTTAATGCGAGAAGAGTTCAACACTCTCTTCCCTCAGTGTACACACGAACTAGCGCTATCCACTAGGTAGGCCAGGAGCGGAAGCGAGAGAAAAAGTCGCTTTGCAAGAAACGCTCGCGCCGGAATTCGAACCCCTGACCTGACCTCTAGAAGGTTTCGAGGACACCAACTAGACCACCGGGGCGACCGGTGTACACCTTGACGGAACCCACCAGCAAACAATAGGCTGGGTTTTCGGCCAGCTTCAACAACAAGAAACTTGTTTTTCAACTTGTTTCAGTTGCCGCAAGCAGTGTTTTACACCTTCGTTTGGTATTGGTATATACGGTATACCGTTGTCCACACAAAAGTACGTGCATGGCTACCACCCCGTGCACACGCGGATGAAAAATTCTTTGTACCTCGCAACACGTCCACAGACAGGTGGTGGTGCAGACGGGAACGATATGCTGTAATGCTGTAAGGGCTGGTCTTAACGAAGAAATCACATATCGATTTCACATTCACTCTTCTCTTTTTTTTTTGTCTTCACTTCAAATCAGCGCTCACAGCACTAGTGCCGTTTACTCCAACCCGTGGTCACACAGAAGAGCCCTTCTCTACCCTCCCCTCCTGTTGTACTTTGCCCTTCGATTTATAATGCGCGAAGAGTTCAGCACTCTCTTCCCTCTGTGTACACACGAACTACATGTAGCGCTATCCACTATTATCTAGGCCAGAAGCGGAAGCGAGAGAAACTCACTTTGCAAGAAAAGCTCGCTTACGCCGGGATTCGAACCCCGACCTGACCTCTAGAAGGTTTCGAGGAGACCAACTAGACCACCGGGGCGACCAGCGTATACAGTTTAGGATGGCTCTTAGGATGACCCACACCCAAATCGGGATTTGAAAATAGGTGAAATGATACAATCGAACCCCATACAGTTGGGTGAACTGCAACCAAAGTTTGTGACTAAGTGGTCTACGCATGCACGCCGCGTGCCCACCCACCCCCATCCACAGGACGAACTCTATCCATCGTCGAGCACAGAGGAGGTAGAGAGCACAACAAGCCAACCCAACGGAAGGGTGACTGCGCATCGTTGTTGCACGTGACTGGTGCCGAAATAAAACGTGTGTGGGTTGGGCTGTAGGACTTTCTCCCGTGGGTTATCGAACCTCAAATCACGGGCGAATTGGTGGCTTTCCGTCAAACAAGGCTCGATTCAAAGTCTCAAGTGCACAGACATTGTGTCAGTACTTACTACCGCAACAGGGAGGGGCCATGTACGCGTTTTGTGTGTGCTTCTCAGGAGCGATAGCTTCCCATGTGGTGTGACCACGTCACAACAGCACGTCACAGCAGCGATCTGGTAGTTGGTGGGCCGCGGACCTCTCAGGTTGCTCGCGGTGGGCTCCAGAGTTTCGTTTCCATTTGGCAGATCTGCCACACATACCATTTCAGTTCGGATTTGGGCAGATCCGACTCTTGTATTCTTATGTCGAACTGAACGATGAAATCGAGATTTGATTTCTTCATTACACCTACCCTGAAACATCACTCTTTACGGAACCCTCTGCACGGCATTTATTCTACGAATGTACGTACGTTCGTACATAGTAAAAGGAAGCAGAATACCCAGGTGATTTAGTCTATGTCAAAAGATTCTGGCAAGTTCTGGCCATTCTCGGCGATCGCGTTGAACAACGAGAAGATCGTGACAATGAACTGTACTGCTGCGTTTCATTCTACACCTAACGCCCTACCAGACAGACCAATGTACCCTCCGTCGTACAGCAGTGTCCAACAGAAGATGCATCCAATCCAAAGCAAGTCATTAACCTCCCTTGGCGTTGACGCTCCTACGCAAATCATTCCCGCGTGCTGCTGTGCATGTACCCCTCTAAACCACCTCGAAGGTTCCTGCAACAATTTCATGCAGCCATGAATTGGGGTGATCGGTATTTCCCCAAAGGTGTTCGGGGAAAATGTATGAAATACCGAGTACATACAGATGATATGGCGCCAGCACAACCACAGAATCGCTCGCCGTTCTAGGTACAATAGTAGATAAGCCCCGATGTTCTTCTTGCTACACCATAAGACTTGTCGTCTCCCATTTCACATCATCATCGTTTCGTAGACTAGTCCGTACTTGCCAGAGAGTCAATAATACCCCCGCCCTGCTACAATGATACAATGACACAACAAGAAACGTATTTTGCATTCCCCAGAAGCCACGGACTCCTCAATGGCCTAGCCCACCGCACCATCTGGGAAACGCAATTGTAGATTCGCCATGCCCTACATACGCACAAGTTCCTGCTAGTAAGAGTTCCGTCGGAAGGGTACCAGCGGAACACACCGAAGAATCACTCCGAGACTAAGAAATCAATCTGTACAGCTTCTCGCCCCCTCATGCGTCCGTCGGCAGGGCTAGCGCCTGCATAGCGCCGTCCAGTCTAGCTATATGCAGCACGTTCCGCCTAATGAGAATTCACAATGAATCCTAACTCCTTTGCTTTACATGTCACGTCTTTAATGCGCGGAGGGGGCAGAAAGCGACGCAATGGAATTACATTCTAGGCGGACGAAACAAGCATAATAGCATCAAAGCAACAATTCCAGCTTAGCCGAATCATCTCGACTCACTGGTCGACCCCTCTCCCTTCCGCCTCGATGACCTGATACACCCTCAAGGCCTCGTCGAGGAGTTTCCTCAAGGCTGCTGTGCTCTGCGGCCTCGTGGACGGGTTGGCATCGAGCATCCCGCGCTCGAGCACGAACGACACCACCTCGCGGAGACCCTGTGTGCAAGGAGCTCTGGTGGTGCCAGGGAGCCATGCGATCCAATCTGCCGCCTCGAACACCTTTAGAGGGGAATTCTTGGCCTCGCCGCTTGCCGCATGCTGCGAGAAAGGGAGGGGCGAAGATGTCGGGGAGGGGGTTCTTTTACGCTTTTTTGTTGCTTTTATGCTGTCGAGAGAGGTGACAGTAGTATCGGGCGGACATCATGCTCTCCGTTGCTGTACTATGTAGGTTTGTGACCATTGCCGTTGCTGGTCCTTCCGTCTTACGGGTTGAAGCAAAGGTCAAAACGTTTTCTGAGAAGTATGATATTTTGGTTAGCGCAACGTACAAAGTGGCGCCCAGGATGGCGATTGTTGTGATTCCAAGCAAAAGTAGCGCGAAAGTTTCTCTGCCTCTCTCTGTATTCTGAGTCTCTCTCACCTCCCGGTCCTCCCTCGTGCGGGTGTCCGTCTCACTTGGCTTGACGTACAACGTCAAGGGTACTACCATGCTGTCGAGAGCCGAACGAGCGACGGCGTTTGGCTGCCATTGGCCGTTACGAACTCCGAGACTCTGTTTGATAAATTCGAATTACAGTAAATCGTTGACGAGAAACGGCGGAAGACGAGTTCAACAAGAACAGCGTAACACAATGGATGAGTCAGCTGGTGAATATTGCTGTAATGAATTCCGATCGGACGCATTTCACTACGGTGTTCTGTGTAGGTCGACACTACGGTACAAGGAAAGAACTGCGTGCCATTTAGGGGCGATCCGCAAGATCTGGAGGCCTCGCTACTGCGCAGGGTTGCAATGAGAAACCTTCTCAACCGCAATGGAGTAAACTTCTCATTGTCTTTGAAGTCCCCACCAACCTTCGTTTCGCCACGAAATCACTTGGACTACACCTACTTTGCTCGCTTACGTTCAGAGCGAACTGTCAGTTCACATTATTATGCCACCTCAAAGCGTCTCGTTTTGTCTCATGTCAACCCCAAGTTTTATCCCTCCCTGTAGTACGATCTCCACAATTTTCTTTTTTCTTACCCACTCCGTCGACCGGATGTCCTTCAGTGTGGAGTATGCCTCCTCCAGTGCAAGCGTGTGTGCTTGGCGCTCGGCTGCGCGGATTTCCGTATCGCCGTAGGGGAGGGCCACCCAAGCATTTACGCCCTGGACAAGACGCTTGGCGATGTTGAGTTGCTCTTCTCCCACCCGTTGGAGGTAAGCCCTCCGCCCTTCGCTAGCCAAGAGTAATGCCTAAAACATTGCGTACCATATTAAAATAGCACAGCGACACAGATAAGGAGAAAAGACACGGGATCAAGGATGTGCTGGCAGTTGGCCGTTGAGATTTCAAGAGCTTCCATGTGAACTGTGTGCGCAGCGAGGGGGCACATATTCGCAACAAGCAGTCTATAGGGTGCTACCACTGAATGCCAAACGTGACTTTTTCAAATACGACGCCACGCTGTGCCAATCGAAGGATAGTGCAAACAACCACACAACAATAATTTTTTGGACACGTCAACCGATTGCTTATCACGATGACGGTGCTATTCTATGCTAGCGTACACCCGATAGGTGCCAATGACCAAATTCTTTGCGACACGCTGAGACAACAACAATGTCAGTCGTAGCCCCCCCTGCGTTCCTCCAATACGCACCTCCCCATCAAAAGGGTTGCGGCTGAGCATCTGCTCCAGGAAGCACACGGAGACCGAGAACAGCTCGGAGGACAGGCGCGACCCCGTAGTCGCCACCTCCTTTGCCGAGTAGTTCGCGGTGCCGTCGCCGATGTGCGAGGGAAGAATTGCTACCTCCTTCTGGACGCAGAGGCCAAAGTCGGTGATAATTCCTTCTCCGTCCTTGGACACGAGGATGTTCTCTGGCTTGATGTCCCTGTGGAGAAACCCGACGGAGCTAAGGAATTCGACCGCAGCGAGGATGCCTCCGAGCACCCTGTAAATTCCGGCAGGAGCAACACGATTCACGTAGGGGGGGGGGGGGTGCAATGGTTCAGCCTCAGCGTCGTCGAGGCACGTGCGTCAGGGCAATACGTGGACAAAGGTTGACGAGTACGGGGGGAGACGATCCGATGTGAATGGTTTCCATGGCAGCCGGCGTGCGCCTTGCTTTTTGTGCGATCAAAGGTTGTGCCTTTTTTGGCATCGTAACTGCTTTCCGCGTTCAGTTCAGGTATCACGGGCGGGATGAGTTTTTCTATGATATGCGGTTAATTCAAGAATATGTCAGGCTTTCTGCGTTGTGTTTGAAACCATTTTGTCCCGTTGTGGCAATATCAGTAGATTTTCACGCGAGAAGAGATGAAGACATATAGTAGGCTTGACGGCCCCCGCAGCACGATCGATGTTAAGCACTTTTCCTCAATGTGCAGCTGGCGAAACAAACGCGCACAGGCAGATTCAACAAACAACAAACGAAGAACTTCCTAAACGCACTCAGATATTACGCGGAGGTATACGTTCTACAGCTTGCTCACTTGACGATCTCGCCTGGGCTCGCGTGACGCCGGCTGTCCCCGATGCACCGCAACGTCGTGGGCTCCTTTCTCATGAGGAGCATCGGCGTTGGAGTGGTTCTTGCCTCCGAAACTGTCACGATGTGACGGTGATCGGCGTAGGTCACCTCACGGAGGAAGTCAATCTCCGAGATGATACTCCTCGTTCCCTCGGCGGTGCCCTGAAAAGTGTTCCAACATTCTTGTTCAGGTGTGTTGTACCCCGCGTTGTGCACTTTGGCATTGGAAAGAAGGAGAGACGTGGCACGCACGTGAGTGTTAACCTCCTGCGTGAAATACACGATGCTTGGCGCGCGTGCTGCGGCTGCAGTATTCTGTGTGGTTTCTTTGTGGTTTAAGGCCTTGTTGAGATCGTTCCGAGAGGGCTTCTACCTCGGGGTGAAAAAACTCGATAGAGAACGCACGACCCGTAAACTCAATGAACGCACCTCGCCGAACCACGGTCATTGATGAGGCGATTAAGCCATGTTGATGTCAACGCCCAGAACAAACACGGCGCACTGCAGTCGACTACGGCACATGATAGCGCGGTATCAATGCCACTATTGTATATGATGGTCTAGTCGTATACCCTCATAGCGAACCGGATATCAGCCGACGTATTTATGTATCCGCTGATGCTACCTTTGCTGTCTTGAGGGCCATCATTTCGCCGGTGGTCTTGCCCTTGAAGAAACGAACATTCCCGAAAGCACCCGACTGTGAAAACAGAAAGACGCGTTAGGCAAACGTCATGGTAGCTGCTCACATTTTGCCGAAGGGCCCCGGGGTTGCGTTGTCATCGAGGTTACATAGATGACCCACACGGGGCAACTGCGGAAAAGTTGCGTGGGGGTTGCCCTGCGCCCAAGAAACCTTGGGGGCATCTTGCGAAGAAACTGGTTCCACCGAGGGCACACCCGTCTACCTCGCTCCGTCTGACCTAGACTATTTTACCGCATACGCTCGGCCCTCAAAGGGGTTTCATTGGTGGTGCCTAGACCTACACAACGCCGTACGTTCGAAACGCAAATATTTGCAGACACTAGATTTTGGGATTAGCAACTGACTCGAGTTTAATGTGAAGACAACAACAACAACAACAACAACAACAACCGTGCAGATACGTCTAGCCGGGTTGGTTATCATTTCAAACGCGAGGCCCCGCAGCCTACCCAATTTTCTCCGAACAATTTGGGCCATCCGATCAAGGGGAGCGAAGCTTACAGAGAGTAGTTTCAGATGGCATTATTTCTTATGAATTACACGCACCGCAGGATCCCCTTCCGACGGCTCTAGCAGATCCAGGTTGGGTCCGTCGGGAAGAAGGAGCTCTCTGTTCTGCTAGACGGGGAGGGAGGAGGACGGAAACAAGCACGTTACGGCAACATGTTTGGCAGTGAGCGCCAAATATTGCAAGCAGTCACATCATGGTGTCTACCAACTCCGCGCAGGGGCTGTTAATATTATGCTTTGTTTATCCCGCTTGCTCTGGATACTACTGATAAGGGTACGTTGTTTGTTTGCGTACTCGGCAAGATACAGATCTCCGAGATCTCTGAGAGGGTTAAGCAGATGTGATATTGATAGAAAGACTTGGCGCAGCAGGTTTTGCCTCTTGCTCATGTATGACACTCGTTAATACAAGGAACTTGAGTCAATCCTTTGTGCAGAAATGCTCTCGACAAGAGCCCGCGAGCGTGATAACGTAGTACACGCGCCGACTCCCCAAACATACGTGAACGTGCCAACTGTATCACATGAGATACCAATATTTTAGAACAGAGTCTTCTTGAATGGGATCAGATAAACTGTAAACTTCCTGTATATTAGGACGCCTATCGCATTTTGGTCTCCCTTTCCCAGGTTTGGTCACTGTGACCACGACACCATTCGCCTTGATGCTGGTGTTATGCGAGCGCCCCGTAACGCTCAGAGAAGTGCATTGCCTGGAAACCACGAACGCTCACACGCATCATCTCATGCGGAGCTGGCCGGAGAATGTCAATATTTCACCTACCAGGCAGCACCACGCCGAAGTCAATGTGACGCGTTGAATGAGACAGCGTCAACCCATGTACGGCACCAAAGCGCAGCACCCGATGAGCTGCGGTAGAACGTTGACCAAGTGTGCTCACCCTGCTGCGTCCGATAGTAGAAGAAGACGGATGCAGGAGAAGACTCCCGTTGTCGTCACCTTCTCTGATGTAGGGGGCCGAGCTCTCCTGAAGGTTTTCGAGAACGTCCTGTGGGCCGAACCACTCGACCAGAAGTACTGACGTTGGCTGAAAAACTGTAACTACCAGCCCTGGGACGCGGAGAATCATCCCGTCGGCAGCGGCCCAGGCCCTGAGCGATGCCGGGAGCGGGAGACCTATTGGGGTCAGCGTTCTCGCCATTGTCGATACGGGTGTTCGCGCTGCGCAGATCAGCAGCGAGGCCGGGCCTGACATTGTCTGGGTCATCCACCGACGAAGTATATCGATAATAGCAGCCCGAAGTTGTCATCGAGAACAACTTAGTTTGGAATCATGGCGCCATCTCGTCGTTTCCACCTTGTTTGAGGACCGGACATCAAGCGTCAGATAGTTGAGGGACTGCCGTCATAAACTTACATAATTTGCAATTTTAGGCCAAACCTAAGGGATGGGTGCCAAAAGTCCCGACAGTATTTAAAACGTTTTCTGCTCATTCGATATTTTTCTTATTGTGCAGGGGGTGATTGTACTGGAAGCAACGAAGGGACGTATGATGCGTCGGTGCATCGACCCCGGCTCACTGGGAATGAACTACCGCATAAATAGCCGCAGATGTTGAGTGCTTCCACACCCTGACTGAAAATCTCTGCATGGCTTTAGCACCAAAGCACTGCGAGCAAGAAAACAAAATACCGAAGCAGAGGCTTTTCACGCTCGAAAGAATGGCGTCGTTAATCAGTGTCTTTCCGCTAGTGTAGTTGTAGGTTGTGTCTGCCTTGTATTTGTATCTGCAGATTTTCCAGCTACCCACTTTTTCCCGATGACCGTCCAGGCGAAGGCGATGACGAACAACGTCGCAGCAGCACCGCACCCGACCATCGTTGGGGTGGGCACAGACCTTGCCAAAAAGTACCCTTTCAGGTAATTGGCCGACACCGGCTTGTCGGCAGCCTTGTCGGGAAGGTAGGATGAACAGTCGCCCTCTAGCATATAGCAGGCAAGCTGCTGGAAACGGTCATTCCTGGGGCGACTGGCGGATTCGCAAAAGTGTGACCGGTCGAGAAAAGGGGTCGTTCGGCATACTCACAGCCACCACATTATAGGAAATCAAGGAGCGCGCATACAGCTGCGCGTCACGTCGTGCCCCCCGAAAGACGGCATCGATGCACAACGCGCTGTCCTGTGCCACTTCATCGACACAGATTGATCTAAGTAGAGCGATTGAAAACTCGGTTCATGCTGTGGCTTTCGTGCGTATATACACATATGTCGTATACAGTGTCCTGTGCGAAGTAGCTCTGGTTAATATTGTGACGGCACCTACCTTACTCCCTTCTCAGGAGGAGTCCTTTTCGACATGCGGGCGCCGGCGTTCCTCAGCCAACCCAAGACATTCCCGAAGAAGCGTGGGATACGCATGTTGTACGCGAGAACTCGCCCGCGGTTGCTCGTGTGGTGCAACGAACAGGTGTATTTCTGCTGTGAGTGAGGGTTGTTCGTGGAGTCCGAAGTGAGGAAGCGTATGGCAAAGGACGGATGGGTGGATCTTTAGTCGAGACTCTGGGGTTGAAGCGGTCCGTGACTCATCGCTCAGACGCCTTGTCGGCGGGAAGGGTTGCCACATGAGTACATCAAGGTTGAAACGATACACATTCTGACACAAGTTGTAACTGCCAAGCATCCCGGAGAAAAAAAACTTCACTGTTGCTAAATGTTTCTACGAGTGGGGTTTCCGCGGGTTTTGCACAAAGAAGCGTGGGTGCCGAAAAAATGTTAATATCGTGTCTGCCCACATATTTTTTATCAGCTTTTCGTGTCGAAGGGGAAACTTGATTTGAGTATTGAGGAACGTGACTATTTGCGTTTCGACTATTTGCGTTCCCAATGCAAATTACGAAACGTTTTTGTTGCACCGCTTAATTTCGTTTTCAGCCGTGCCCCTTCTCAACCTCGACCTCGCGGCATACATACCTGCTATTTTTACCCCGCCCCCCCCGAGCTTCTAACACGAAGGCTTGACAGTTTTCGCCAAAGCATATAGGGAAAGGCGTCACAGCCTAACCCTCAACTGTGCCATGGTAGATTGATGGCGTAGTGGCAAGAGCAAGACATACTGCTGAGCGGCTGCTTTTCGTTGCGAATGACCTACAGAATAAGTCAGGGTACGCCCGCCCTTACAAAAACGCCACGTCAATGACGTGGCGGTAGAGTAATCACGCACAACGATATCTACGGCAGCCCACGACAAAGCGAAACATAGAGTCTCTGCCCATTGAACCTGGAACCGACATGGGAGAGAGGGAAGGGCTACACCCAGCAGTACTGTAGACTACAGCAGAGTGCTGCTGCTGTGAACATGTACTGCGGTATGTACAGTACTCACGGATACAGCGGCGGGGATCTGTTGATAAACGTATTGTTCGTGCTGTTCGCAGCTTGTTGCATGCGCATCCCACCCCGAAAAATGAGTGCCTCTGCGTAAGTGATTGCCATTCGCTTGCAATATCTTGTTTCTCTGCCATGTTGTACGAGCGGACACTTGAATTCCATTCTCGCGAGAATCATCACTCCGAGATACATCGCGAAACTTTGCGTCCTACAACAGCAGTACCATTAAGCCTGCGAGCAGTATATTCCCGATCCTGATCGAAGACTACAAAGAGCACATCCCTCGTCAACACAACCCCTGCACGCAGCTCCACCCCGTACTCACTGTTAGATATTTTTAGGGGGTAGTGTACGACAGCTACCTGCTCGTCAACTAGGGCCGCGAGGAGGCGCGGAGGAAAGCCTACATGTAGGTCTCAACGTCTCAACGGTCAATGTCTCTCTTCGGACGGAAAGGGAACCGAACCAAAAACAATCAGAACATCAGAACCCTTTTGCCTGCGTGTGCGCGCGGCCCTCTGCCCTGGCTGCAGCACACTTGTTGTAGAAGAAGTACTTCCCTAGAAGCCGACTAGCAGCAGACCCCCTCCCCTCGCTGTGGTACGGTCTTCGCACTACGCTGTCGCTCCGTGCTTGCTCGCTGTGCTGGGTCCTGGTTTCGTTCCGACGGCGGTGAGAGACTTGGGACGATCCAAAGCTCCGACAGAAGAAAGAAGGCGGAGAGAGGCGGCAATAAAAGGTCAGGTGTGGGGATGTAGCGCCGGGCGGGTGTGCACAAGAGAGGGATAGGGGCAGTAGAGAGACAGACCGAGCACGTCAGGGGCTCAGGAGTGGCCGCTGCGCTCGGGATAAACTCGGGCTAGGGAGAGGCCATTGCTTGGACTTTGTGTCGCTCGGAGGACACCGGTGTGCACGCATATGCGTCGCTTCTATTTTATGACAGCAGCTGAACAGATTCCTTCGCAGGGCAGCACACGTTGTTCAATTACTTAGAGGAGCACCTGTTTGGTTACGCAGCCTGTGTCGAGAGTTGAGCAACGCACACAGGGACATCCAGGAGACCCGTTGACGGCCTACCAGCCCTTCATAGGTGTTGCCTTCCCCAGGAATCCGAAGCGCCCACAACTACCTATATTGCGCCTCCGTTCCATGTTGCTGTTGCTGTCCACACTGCTGTATAGTCTAATCGATGAGCAACGGCAACGCCGTTTGCTGTACATTGTATACATTACCATTACGGGGCGTTGCCGTCCGGAGAGACATCTTTAGGAAACGTGTCGTTTTCGGCTCCGACGAAACCAACACAGTGCTTCTTCAGCGCGCGTCTCATGATGTAGTCGGTATGTAGTAGATTTGGTGTTACGCTGTCTACAGCAGTGTCAGAGAAAAAGAACAACAAAATACGGTACGGCAGGATGGCCGTTTGAAAATTCGAAAATTCCATTTGCTGAAATTGCGACCAACCATTACCGGTTCGTGCTTTTCGGGGATCCCTCTCAGGTGGCTGAAGCAAACGCAACGAATAGGAAAGCTCCCCCCCGTATGTATAGCTGTGCGTATCGCGCCGCTTGTTGGGTGGGCGATAGAGGCGGCGAGGCTGATTGGCTGTGAATTGAATTTCGCGAGGGCGACTGCTTTTCGAAGAACGGTCCTCGGAATCTTTTTTTTTTTTGCGTTGTCACCGATCTTATGGGGTTTTAGAGCGAACACTATCCACGGAACCCAGCATTGACAGCGCCTCCCTAGGTAGCTAATTTGTTTCCGTTCTGTGTGGGGATTACTAGAGACCGCTAGGCGTGCCAAGCTGAGAAGCGCAGCTCGGGAGGATCGAGAATGACCTATTGCCCTTTCCTTTCTCGTTTGGCAGCCCTTCTCCGCTACAGGAAGCCTCGCATAGCTCAGATGCGATCGCGGAATATTATAGTGCAGACGTTAGCACACAGATACGATCGCGGTACGTTTGGCACTGCCGGGGGCTTCTGTGGCACACTGCTGTGAGAATAGGAGCCCCGTTTTGCACACAGCAGGGTAGGACAAATTATTTCGGTAGAGATTCGTTAGGGGTTGTGCCGCATGAGGTCAAGTAGAGCCTTCTTCTTCTCTCGCGCCGTCGTAGTTACTCTACCGGTGTCGCTGGCCATCGATCTTGTACAGCAGTAGCGTTGAGAGTTTCAACAGCGAAGGTGAGCGCATATTTGTATTATAGTCACCCAGCCTTGTGTTGGTACGGCCGGCTGCTGAGAGGCTGCGGTAGTGTGTGTTGGACTCGCCTTGCCGTGTTTTGTGCTGCCAAGACACAGCACACCCCGGTGATACAACAACAACAACAACCTCGCTATATTCACGTTATCTCCACAACCTCGCACTATATTTGCAAGATAGTTTGTTAATCCCATGCCGCACCCCCTCTCGTTGTCGTTGTGTGATTCGACTCTTGGCGCCCGCCTCCGTTCCCTGCTTTGGCCTGCAAACCCGACCACACAAGAGTCGCGAGTGGTACCAGATGGAGACACCATCCACCTCCACCACCGCCCCTGCGGCTGCTGCCCCTGCTGGTGCGGCTGCGGCGGCGGCGGGGGCCCCTGGAGTACGTCGAGCGACAACAACCGGCACAATACCGGCCACGCCCTCCCACCAGGTCTCCTTCGAAGATGACAACGCCACTGCCAGGCCGGGAGCTCGCGACATTAGAAAAGGAAGATCCGAGCCCTACGGACGCGAGGTGACCAAGCGGAAAGGCTTTGTTACGCGTCTGCAGTACCGTACATCCGGGACGAAATTATGATGCACGCCCGGTCCCAGCCCCGCCTCGCTTAGCTTGGCGGGGTGGCGATGCTAGGTCGTTCCGGATGGCCACACCGCTGTTACCTATCCCCACGCTTGATCACGCGAGGCTCGGGGAATTCAATATTTGCCTCTTGCCGTGGTCTGAGAAGCGAGCGCTGTGAAGAGCAGGCGGGGCAGGGGGGTCTATCGTGCATAGTTTTTGCTTCAGTACACCTGTGGGTGTTTGAGCACAGGGCGGTTTTGACAGCTGTGGCCGCACGCTCAGCGTGATTAGCACCCGTTCCTCTCTGCGGGTCTTTCTTTCCTGACACCAGCTGAGCCACCGCCCAGCCCTTGCCATGTGCTGCGAACTTCTATTCTTGTGTTGATGCTCACCCGCGCGCTTTTGTCTGTTTTCGTCTGGATTGGCTCTCTCTCTCCCTTTCAGATCGCCGTTCTGCGGGAGCAAACGAAAAAGAAACTCGGCGAGGAGAAGGTGCGTGGATTGTTCTCAACGTTCATGTTAATTCTGTCCTGATCGATATTTTGCTCTGATGTTATCGTTGCTATCGTCGTCATTGTCGGTCATGCTGCTGCTGCTGCTGTTGCTGTGGTCGTCGTTGTTGGTGTTGTCCCCGCAGTCTTTGGAAGCGCAGCTCCACCTCTTGCCTGGCTGTCCCCATTCCAATGGCAACGCACAGTGCCTCTTGCAGGCGTTGCCAATAGTGGTACTACAGGCATATTTCTCCGATGGACCTGGACGACTTGATATTCGAGCATTACCTGCGCAAACCTTCGAAGAAGTCTGTGCCAGCATCAGGAACTATACCAATTGTTTGTCAATTCTCTGAGAATGTCTACATGAAGTGCTTCCCGTTGTTTATCCGTTTTCTGTTGTCCTTCTTTTATTTTCTCTTTGCAGCCGGTGTTCATGAACGACGTTCGCCTGGGCCCTAAGGACGAATCGTTCTAGCACATCCCGACTATCTACAGTACATGAAGATCCTTCCCGTTGTTCATCCGTTTTCTGTTTTGCCCTGTTCTTTTTCTTTTTTTTTTTCCCTTTTGCCAGCCCGTGTTCATGAACGACATTCGCCTGGGCCCCAAAGACGAATCGTTCGAGCACATCCAAGTTCACGAAGCTCGCTCGAGAGTGCGTGTGGGACGCCTTAAGCACGTGAGTGACCAATTATTATTTTTTGTTTTCGTGGTTGTGGGTTGTCGTGTCGATTCGTGCAGCGAACCGAAGCGAGCATGTGAGCGTCGTATCTTTTGGTACCCTCAGGTGAAAACTCGTCTTGGGTTTTTCTGTTGAGAATGCGTTTTTCGCGTCGTTGCTCTCGAGATGAGCCTGTGGGTCGCCTGTCTCTTTTCGGCCAAATGTGTGTATGCAAAGGTCTCATTTTATCTGGAATGACGTCATTCCTTACACTTTTGGGTAGTTTTTTGGACTCATCAATAGCGAGTAGAGGCAAGTGGAGGGTTCTAGGCTATCTGTTCTTGATTTCTATTGACTTGCGGACCATTCGGGTCCATTTTTGTTTTGTATACCTTTTTTTGGTAATTTAGCCTGTGACCACATGAATTAGCGGCGTTAAGTGTTCGACTAGTACGGAAAGATGAAGATACTGGGTGGAGAGATCGGAACGGTTTTTATTGTGAAGACAACAACAACAACAACGACAACAGCATCAACTGGCCTCGCACTGGGGCAACGCCTACGAGTTTTATTTTTTCACGCTACACGTCTGCGGTGCGCTTGCCTTGTCCCATACATATCGGTGTTTTATTTTTCCTTTTGTTTTGTACTTTTTTTTTTTTTAAGGGCCGGAACGTTAAGGCCGACGAGAAAGGGGACGACGACAAGCTCAACCTCACCTTCAGGATGATGCTCGGAGTGCGGGTGGCGGTGGGGCGACAAGCCAGCCCTTTCCCGTCGGAGGAGGGGCTTACCGCGGACGACTACACGCAGGTGAGGTTTGTCGTCTCTGTGATTCTTGGAGGGGGGGGGGGGATCCGCGGACACAGTTGATAAGTGTAGGGTGGGCGGGGTATGCACAGGATCGTTTTCCCGGGGAGCAGAGGGGAGGGGGTTGAGTGAGCACTTTTTTTTCGTGAAGCTAGGGAAGCAGGATACCCGGAAAGGAGTTGACTGTTGTCAAGCACGGGCAAGTTGGGCTGTACACGGCAGAGTGAATGGGTATACAACACCCGCACGCCCTTTCATGACCCCCCCCCCCCCCCCACAACCTTATCTAGCTTCGACTGGAAAAGGGCTTGCGTGGTGCCAAATGGCACATGTCCCAGTCCAATAAATGCTCTGTAGCGGGACGGCAAGTGGAAACAAATCGAAGACAAGCTCAACACAAGTACACTTCTGGGCTAACGAAGTCGAACGCTGAGCATCCACACGTTCTTCACCCAAAACTTCACCTGCACAGCACACCTTCTCGTCCCTACGTTCACTGATCGAGGCGGTGGCCTACGGCATTCGCGAGATCGACAGTCGGTGCAAAAACAGAGGCGGCGCAGTTTAACCCCCTTACACTGATAGTACGAGGAGCATGTGCGGGTGCCCGCATCTTGGAAGACATCCACCCCTACCCGCGTTGTCGCTGGGTAGGCTGCTACAGTACAGCAGTCGCTGGGCAGGCTGCTACAGTACAACAACGGCGACAAGCCCTTTTTTTTTTCGACAGCAACAACAGGGGCTACAACAATGACACCAGCCGACAAACCACGGCGTCATTGCAATACCACACGCACGACTTCATCTTGAGTCGGAAGAGTAATGCTGCTGCTGTGTCGTTGCTGTATCTATTTTCCCAGCAAGACAAGTACGTCTTTCCTCCGGCGGGGGCGGGGGGGCGCCTGCCCACACCTTCCCACAAGCTCAACAGGACCTTCAAGTTCCGAGACTACGCGCCGAAGGTCTTCAAGAACCTCCGGGGTCTCTTCGGCATCGATGAGGTGGGCCTGCCGCTGCCGCTAGTAATGTCACTGCCGATGCTGATGCTGCGGTTGTCGTTGCTGCTACCTTTGAAGCTGCTCTTTCACAGTGATGCGCGATGTTTTCGCCATGATGCATGTTATTTGGCGCCCTGGCGAACTTGTCCTCCCCGATCCCCCGGCTTTCCCTTCGAATGGCGTTTTTTTCCAGGCATCGTACATGAACTCCGTCGCCGGTGACTACGACTACTTGGAACTCATCACCAACTCCAAGTCCGGCAGCTTCTTCTTCTACTCCCACGATCAGAAGTACATCATCAAGAACATGAAGGTTAGCCAATCGACTGCACGGGCGATCCGTTGTACGTACTTGTAGTCGCCAGAGAAGTCAAACCACACGACGCTAGTAGTATGGCATCAGGAGCATGTTAACTATCCTGTGCCCTGACGCTATCCAGAGGAAACTATAATAATTCGCCTGGGCTGGGAGCTCATAAATCGGCGCGCCTTCTCCCAAAATCTGCTATTATACTACTGCTATTGCTGTGCTGCTACTGCTCCTGGTGCTGGTGCTGCTACTGTTGCTGCTGCCTGCCTGCTATTGTGTTGCTGCTGCTGGTGCAGCGAGCGGAGGCGAAGTTCTTCCGGAGCATCCTTCCGCAGTACTACGAGCACCACCGTACCCACCCGGACTCGGTGCTGATCCGGTTCTGCGGCATGTACCTGGTGAAGAAGGGTCACAAGAAGATCCCCTTCATCGTCATGAAGTGGTGCGCCATTTGTTCTTCGTTCGTTACACCTCTCCAAGAGGAGACCCAAGAACAAAAGCGTCCATGATCGACATGAAATCGAGCGCTTTGTTTTCCTTTTTTCATGTTGGAACCGATTCTTGGGCGCAAGAATGTAAAGCCTTTTTCGCCATGAAATGGTGCTATTTATTGCTTGTCGCCAGGAGGGGGCACAGGATGGTACAGCAGAAGCGCTCCCTGTAGGCTAGAAGGCGGCATAGAAACGCCAACGGATTTGGCCAGCTTCCTGCCGGGCACCCACCTCTATTCAGAGTGTGAGGCGCGCTTGAACAATCCGCCCCGTGTCACGCGACTTCATATGACCTTGTCCAGGGACCACTGCTGCACCCTTGAACTGGTACATTTTGTTAACTTTTTGACCCTCGTGGAAAAGGGATGTGATATGATTACCCTTTCGTCCTAGTCCGCACCACCCATCACGGCGCAGCTCCTCTCCTCGCCCGCGAGATATGCCCCCCTCCCGCCCCCTCCCGCGCCGCACCGCATGCCTTTTTTCGTCTTTCGTTCGTCTCTTTTTGCCAGCTTTCAGGGATAAAAACACATCATTGATGCAAGTGCATGATCACGCCCGCCCCCCTCCACCGCCCGACGTTTTTTCCGCGCCATTTCCTGGCTTTCTTGACGGGAACTGCCCAGATGAAAGTGATAGATCCGCACGACGTTCCCCCTATTGCAACGCACACCGCTACCTCCCCGCCCGTTTCTCCGGTTTCGTTCGCAGCATTGACGGCACTGCCCAGATGAAGATCCACAACAAGTACGACCTCAAGGGCTCCAAAGTCCACCGGACAGCAAAGGAGGGAGAGAAGGTCTTGAAGGACAACAACTTGAGAGAAGCAAAGACCAAGTTCCGCCTTGGCTCGCAAAGGGACGCCTTCCTCAAGGTGATCACCCTCCGGCTGGGACAATTTGGGTGATCGGCGTGTCTGTTGATACCGCGACACTGTGGTCGAAGGTATTGACCTTCAAACCAACGCCCTGCTCTGTTCTGCACGATGCCTATTATGTAGTCTTATATCCCCGTTTGTCGCTCTCTCTCGTTGCTGGTCTCCTCTGCCCCCCCGCCCCTCCCCTCTGACTACACCATTTCCGCCCACACCGCGGAACCTGGCGCATCTGCAGGTGGTGCGGTCGGATGCGGAGTTTTTGCGCGACGTTAACGTGATGGACTACTCCATGTTCGTCTCCGTCCACGACGCCTCCCGCCCACCGGAGCGAACCCTTCAACGTGGCTACACGGAGTTGTGAGATACTTTGTAGCATACCTTTTTGATGCATGGCGAAGGTGGAAACAATTCGTTAGATCGTCAGTCAGCAATCACAACATACGTTTTTCGCAACCGAAATCAACGCATTGTTACACCGGTTGACTGGTGCAACGGTTTGATTTCGGTAACTAAATATCACAGCTACCTACGATCTCTCTCGTTGTTTTGCTGTTGTTTTTATATATGGTTTCAGTCTCTCGTACGATCTGAAGGATTTCTTTTCTGTTCTTTTTGCGTTTCATCTTGTGAATTCTAGTTTCTCTTCCGATCTGAGGACTACTGTAGTGTTGCTGCCTTCACATTAAAACCGTCTCTGTCCAGCTGTCCAGCTGTCCAGTGCCTTCTAATGTCCGTACGGGTTGTCTCCAACTGACACGGATGCCCCCCGCGTTTACAGGCGAACAACCCCGAAAAGGGATGCACATCGAAAAATGCAAGAAATGAAATCAAGGAATCCGACATGTCAACGCCGGCACGATAGTAGAGCGCGAAATAACCCGAAAGGGAACGGGATGGCTCCATTTCGACAGCAGCACTCAAACATCACTGGTGTTTAAGGGGAGATGAGATATACGAAATATTTTAGCTAGAGGCCATCACTCCCGCTCGGCACACAGCGCTATGCAAGAACAGCAGAATCAACGATCACCCGTCAAGATGGCAACAAAAACGCATGGTTCTATCCTTACACCCTCGGTCACCACCGCGAGAAGTGTCGTCTCTTTATGCGCCACCTCCACACTGATGGGCTCACAGGTCTTCCTATCCCTACCCCGTACTGTTATGCCGGGATATTTGTCGAGATAGGCCATCTTGGGTTCTCGCCCGCCTGGCTCAGCCCCCGCCGTATGCAGACACTCGTGCTTGTCGGACGTACACACGCGGGCACAAGACTCGAAATAATTTGCACCGTAACATCTGGAAAGGGGCAATGGAAAGACAGGGGTTAAGCGGGGAACAATTGAAGGAGGGCGTAATGACTGGTATTCCTACCACCCGGCGCATGTCTCCCTACACGTTCTGCCATCTCCGTCTCTCAGCTGCGGTCATGTCGCCTAATTCGGTCTTTCAACGCTTCTTCCCCCCCCCCCCCCCCGTTTAGTTGCCGTTTCAGTCTTCCGCTTGCTGTCGCGTTTTTCCGCACGCAGCCTACAGACCGTCCTCCTCCCTCTTGCATATCAGACACCATGAACCTCTCCACCCCACGTAGCACCCCCAAGTACCAATGACCGCCTCCTCACCTCCGCCGCGAGACTCCACATGGCACGTAGGACCCCGGAAGCTCCTCCTGTCGCCGTCGATGGATTCGGCTGTAGCGCCCAACGTCCTACCGACACCCCAGCCAGTTCCGTCTGGGGCACCCCGTTCCTGGACCCTCCCCGAATTTCCCATACACCACGCCATTCGGGTTAGCCACATTATGCACACAGGGTGTGTAGATTGGCGTCAGAGTAGATGGGACGCGGAACCACTTTAGACACACCCGAACAAGACTGGGCCTCAGTTTGCCGTCCAGTCTACTCCTGTAGTAATTTCGACCCCCCACGTTCATCTCTGTCCACGACAGCACTCGGCGGCCGGAGCGAACCGTTCGTCGCGGCTACACGGAGTTGTGAGATTCGTATACGTATCTGCACCCATGCATAGGTTTCGGCGTTTTTTTTCGTTTTTTTTTAACGGTGTTTCGTAAACAAAGGCAAGAACAACAGTAGACTACAATCTCAATTCTCAATGTACTCCCGTAACAATTGGACCTATAGAAGCCGAAGTCAAACCAGTAGACTAAAAGTCAGCGCTGACTAGTCTAATGGTTTGGTTTTGGCGGCTTTAGAGCCCCTAGCCTTCCTCCCTCCTACTTCCTTCGGTGGTTTGGTTTGTTTCGCCCGTACCCATTTCTTTTTTGATTTGTTTTTTTCTGTCCAACCCCGTCTTACCGCCGTTTTCTCAGCTTCACGTTTGCCGACGAAGCGTCCGACGGTCCCAAGTCGGCGGTGAAACCGATACCGTCCCGGAGGGGCGAGGCGTTCAGGGCGGCTGCTGCGGACACGGACGGGTGAGCGTGCAATCGCCGTTGTTGTTGTTGTTGCTGTTGCCAGTCATAGTTGCTGTTGTTGCTCCTGTTTGTGTTCGTCATGGTTATTGTCACTGACTACTGCTGGCATTGTACTCGCCTGCTTCTGCCTCTGCCTCTGCTGCGGCTGCGGCTGCGGCTGCGGTGTTTGTTCAACTTGCTGTCGCCTTCACCTAAATTGCGACCTCGACCGAGCCACCGCCCCTGTGTGCGATTTCCGTGTACAGGAACGAGCGCCAACGGTACGCCTCATGTTCGTTTCGGCACTAGTCACCGTCCAGAACCCAACCTATTCTACTCCTCCCTATCCTTCATCCGAGAACCTAATGTATCTACTCTCGGTACGATGTCTTCGTTTCGTTTTTGTTCCCGCGAGCCAGGGACGGCGCGTCGACGGTAGGAACCGGGACGGCCAAGCCATCCGCGGGCTATACGGGCGCGATGCGGTTCAGGCCGGACGGTGGGATCGATTCGGAAGGCGATCGCGGCCCCAAAGAGATCTACTGGCTCGGCGTCATCGACGTTTTGCAGGTACAGCATCACACCTTTTTATGGCTGGAGAATGTTGCAAAAACACTTGCAAACTCTTTCTGCAACTTAGCTCGGGAACGTATGTCTGTAGCACTTTTGGTGCACGCTCATTATGGGACGAAGACAGTTTTGTGCACGGGACTACTTGTAGCGGAATGGGGAAGTGTGTTTTTTTGTTTTTTTCTTGCAACGGCGAGAAGAAGGCACATGCCTTCCATATCGCACCGCGAAAAAACCGGTCAGAGCGTGCGGGAGAGGGTAGTTGCAACCTTTTGTCCCCACGCTCACCATACCCCAAGGCACCTAACCTGGTACCAGAAAGATGCTGGGTAGAGCTAGCTCCCTCGGGGTGGCATTGTTGTTGCTGTTGCCTCCTCCTTCGAAAAGTTATCGCTGGAAAACCAAGGCATGAGCACACAATTCCTGCGAACTTGAACCAACCGCTCTCTGACGGGGGTATTTTAGGGCCAACCAAAACATTTTCTCGGCGCGCACGATACCCCGCGGCACCAAATCCTGGACATGAAAGATAGAGCAGAGAGCTACCTCCCGCCGAGTGGCCTTGCTATTGCTGTTGCTTCCTCCTTCGGAACGTTATCGGTTGATAACCAAACCCGTGGCAGAAAAAAACACCGAACTTGAACTAGTCGCTCGCGGCCGTTGACGGTCGTGCACAGCACAAACTTTTTTTCCCGGCGCATTCGGCACCTCACGGCCCGAAAACTTGGCATTGCCCAACAACCCATGGCATCACCTCGTCCCAGATACCATTCATGAGGCAGTTCATTAAGTATCTGTCGAGATATCGGTGATCGCAGCCTTCCCACAATCGAAGCTGGAGAGGGTCTACGTGTGTGGTACGGGTAGCATCTTGGCGTGGATTGGCGGAAGTTGCGCCGCGCAACTTTTCTTCGACACCTTCGTCGCGAAAAAAGTTGCACAACTTTTCCTCCAGATTGCAGTTTTTTGTCCCGAGAAATAGTGTCAATTTTTTTGCGCAACGTTTCGCTCCTATACTGAGCGTACAGTAGAAAAGTTGCAAGAAACGTTTGCATAAATTAACTTGTTCTTGCAACATTCTGCTGCTATAAAAACGGTGTTAGAGACGGTTCTCACATTTCGAGAGTGCCGCGTGTGTTTGGCAGTCTTTCTGACCAGCACTAACGTGGGTACCATCCGTATGGCCGGCATTTAATCACGTATTTATTTGTTCGGCGGCTGAATAATTACCAGAATGGTATGGTTTTGGGGCACAGCACGGTTGTGGCACCCTGGTGACGCCATCCCAGTACCTCCCATGTTGATGATATCCCGCGTAGGACACAACGTTACATGCCCATGTAAGACAACGACCCCCCCCCAATACCACGCCCGGTGACACTATTTTCTACGGTTCACGTGAATCCAAATGTATCACTACTCTCAATGGAAGCAATAGGATGACCGAAGATACGACATCCCCGCACAATTTACAACCAAGGCAGTTCTTTTTAGAAACCAAAATGTTTTCACCGGGAGATGCCCTTGTCGCATTCAGATATGCACCGGCTCTACAGCGGGTATCATCAGTATTCCATGCGTCGTGATCCCGAATAGCGCGGGATTGCATCGGCACCGTACCAGGACGGTGGCACTAATCAACTTGCACGCTCCCCAGCCCGCCCCGCGGTTTTTGACCCTGTTCCTGAGTTGGCTCGAACAGAAACGGTTGAGCACGACGTTATGTGAGGCACCGGGCGGGGAATCCCTTCGCCTTTGATTATTTTGAAGGGTTGTTTTGTGTTGGCACGTCTTGGACTTTTCTAGATCAAAACACCCTCCCTCAACCGGATACAGACTCGGGGCGGAAACATAATCCAAACCGACACAGGTACATGGAGCTCAAACAAAAAACTCGTCTGTTTTCTCTTGGCCAGGAGAGCCAACCACGTGTCACGGGTAATTGTTCCCAACCTTGTTCTTATGAACCCTATCCTTGCGACACACCCTTTGCTTGAGTTTGTGCAGCGCGTGACCTGTGTTTGGGTGGCCTGTTGTTTTATTTGGTTTCTGTGGGGAAAACCCATGTTCTTGCTTTTACATTACTTTCTTGTTTCTATGTTTCGTTCGGTCAACTCTGGGCGCCAGTACGACTGAATACAGATTATCAGTTTCTTTTTGAGTTCGTTGGGGTTCGCTGGACCCGTCGAGTCTAAGCACTTGGGCCGTGTGAGCTGTCCAGCTTCAAGAAACGTCGCGAATGGCGGCGTGCAGCTAGCTCTGGGCTGGTCATGCTACCTTTATTTTCATCCTGCTCCACCCCTTGACGATACTGTGCTTCATTGAGCCCACGCCGGAGGGATCCTTCATATACCTTTCAGCGTATGCATACCATTGGCCAACCAGCCGAGGCAAAGCAAGAGGGTAAACCTCTTTTTTTCCTTCCCTTCCTCTTGCGCCAGTCTACACATTCAGCATAGCATGTGCTTTATACACCAGCCAGGGTTACACTGGAAGAAGGTACGCAGGCGTTGTTTTTCTTGAGAGGGGGGCTTGGCCTCGACCTTTTCTGCGTTTTGTCGGGATCTAAGGTAGGGCGTCGAGATCGCACCCAAGCGGAGTTATACATGAGGGAGGTAGGCACGGCGTTTATTTTCGCCGGGGGGCGCCGAGGCCGCAACCACACCGGGGGCGGCTTCACTCTGGCACACCAGCGTACGTCAATTGCCCCAAGTCTGAAAGGCGCCGCGCGACTTGTTTGGTCCAACCGTGGGCTTCAGCACGAGAGAAAGAGAGGCCAGAAGCGATTCGACATTTTAGGGTTGAACGGAATTGCATCACAGAGGTTTATTAATGAATGGAGAACAAGTGCTACACAAACAAGCGCAAATACGCTGCTCTCTGGTTCAGTTTCTTGGAAGACGTCATGGCGCTTCGCTTTTGACAAGTTTTTCAATGATAATAGGCGGATCATTCTTGTAGCATTTTCAGGCTTGGTGTACTGAGGTTCCGCATGGATCTCCTGTGATACGAGCCATGAGTAGTGAATGGTCCCGGCCTCCCCACACACACACCAACGAGGGGACGGACCTGACACAACATGACTCGAAGCTATGGTGGTGGGGATAAGACAAGCAAGAGATTAGTGTGACAAATCAACAGCACGGAGAGGTACCCAGCACCCTACTTCCGCTGAAGGGCGACGGAGTAGGCACGGTGCTCGGTCTTGAAAAGAGATGCGTGGTCATCGGTCAAATGCCAACCGGAGCGAGCAACTAGTAAACACGCCAACACGAACCCTTCCCACGTCAGGTATACACCAACATGAAGCACGCGGAGACGTGGTACAAGGCGATCGGCAGAGTTAAGAACGAGCTAAGCTGCGTGGACCCGGCGCTCTACTGCGAGCGCTTCATTAGCTTCATGGAAGAGACAACCAGTTAGAGAGGATGCCTTGGCAGACCTCTAGGCGCACTACCGTCCTGCTTCACCGCCATCTTCCCGACGGTGGGGCGGATCTCCGAAGGCCCCACGTTATTAGCATCTAGTACGAGGTCCAGGCCGAAATACAGTTGTGCGGACGGCTCTCGACATCGTTATTTTGTGTTTGTTTTCAGTCGTCATCGAGTCGGGAATGACATCGATGACGAGACACGAATCCCGTTGTATTTTATCCCCGCGAGCGAAAGGTGTTACGGCAGACGCCAATGTTTGTTCCCGAGCTCTGCTGTTATTCAGCGATGCTTTCGCAGCGGCGGCAAGTGAACTGGTAGGTCATATTTTGGCCACATATTTGATGTGTAGTCGATTGGGACCCAGGTTATTTGTTTGGCCGTACAGCAGTATCTGCTTACTAATTTTGGATGTTTTATTTTCCTTTGTTAGATTTGTTCTTGTCTTCTCTGTTCATGAAGAATGCCTCGTAACTCTCTAGGGGGTAACCAACAGGGGGGAAAAGTGTTCGCCATAGGCGCGCTTTCCATTTGTCGATGAAACTTTCTTGATGGCGGGGTATTTGTTGTTGGATGCATCCGGGTCTGGTTGGTGATTGCTGTTGAATTTGGCTGTCCTCATGAGTAATTCCCGTCTCGTTGCCGGTGCGTACTTATAGCGTTTCTGCCAGGGTCCTGCCTCCTTGATTGGATCGCGTCATGTTTTTTTACACTGCTGAAAGGCGGCCAATATGGCAAGTGTACTGGCGACGAAGTGTCCAACGGCCGTCAACATTGGTCAATCCAACCCTGGTTCTTTTGTGCGACGGCCACATTTCTACGGTCGTAGGCAAGTCCGTAGGAAGGGCGAAACCGCAGCAGCCCCTGATGTATCGTACAGCAGTCGGTCGATATGTTCAGGTTTGCAGTACGTGCATTGGCGATGGCCGATTACGTCTTGCACGATTTTCGGGAACAGCCCGTTTTTTATTTTCGAGCGTGCGATGGAACATCGGAAGGCGCCGGCTTGGGAGGCCCCGGTATATCGTTCTTCGCTCTGCGGCGAACATCGCGATAAGCGGAGAAATGACTCTGCTTGCAGTTTTGTCGGGATGTCGTGGATCATTCCTGTTGTGACGGCAGCGAATGTTGACCGTTTCCCGCACGCGTCCAACTACGCGGTGCGCCCTTTCACTGTGTGCCCTGCTCATGGTGGAGATAGGTTTTTCTAACGATTGGCCCCGTATGCGAGAGAGATTTTTTTTGGAAGGGTCAACCGTTGCCCCTCCTTGTCTCGTTTTAGTACGTGGTTGACAAAGGTTCCGGGAGTTGAATACGTTATTTTATTGGGGTGTAGCTTGCAGTTGCTCCCTGTTCTCCGCCGTGCCACACCCCACACGAGAGGAACACTGCACGGAACCAGGGGTTTATTTCACACCACGTAAAACGCTGTGCGTGTGCTTGCGGTGGCATCGGGAGCGCTACTGTGGTGATATCATCAACACACACGACCACCGCTCCGAAGGGACTTCATTATTTGTGCCCGCCCACTGGGCGGCCTCTCTGTCGTTGGAACGCTGTTAGAGCATGGACTTCCAATCAGGTCCAGGCTTTTGCTTAGTAGTGTCCCTGTTTTTCACTGCCATGGTGGGCGTGTCTGCCCTGAAAACATCTTTGCATGGTCAGCATGAACAGGCGATGGGAGACATTCCCATGGTCTGCGATAACCCGACACACTCCGGTCCAGATTGGAACGGGTATCAACATGCGTCGCCCAACCCGTCCCTCGCCCTCGCCGTCTCCCAGTGGTTTCGAGCATGCGTGCCAATCAGGACCAGGCCTCTACACAGTAACGTCCCTGTCTGTCCATCGCCTTGAGTAGAGAGTCTGCGCCGGCCTCTCCTCCCACCTGCATAGGGTGCCGAACGCGCACAGGGTCGACGAAACGGAAGAAACGAAAAAAAAAAACAGTGTTCGTGGATGTCCCTCGTTGTGGTAACTGAACTGTGAAGACACGAGAGTCTTCAGCCCAAAACCGGCAAACATGCTCCGAGTGCTGTGAAGATTGTGAACTGGCGTGGATGTTACAGCCAAAAATGCGAACACCACACAGCGTTATTCTCTGGTGGAATGTGTACTAAAACAACGACCGGGTCAACATGAGTAGCAACAATAGCAACATCTTTTTACCCGAAGCATCATGCAAGTCACAAGAGCAACAGCGAAGAAGACGACATAGCAAGAAGTGCAAGACTCCGGGTGTGGAAGACGTCTTGTCGTACGCTCGAAACGCGAGGAACACCCACCCATACGTGTACATCCATCCAAGACAACACAAATCCACAATTGAAGGCAATTGTCACAAAAGCTATCAAGTAACCCCTTCTACTAACGGCACCAACTCGCCTTCTCGTGTTCTGCAAGGACGTCTCGAAATGCCTCTCGGACGTCTCGAGGCATTTGCTTCGCCGAGCCAGAGACCAGGATATTCGCGCCATGATCCACCACCAAACCAGCTATCAAGGACGCCTGCAGTGTGTGTGTGCGTGTGTGTGTGAACGAGTGGGTGGGGGAGCGCGGCGGTTCGGTCCACAGGTGACATCAGGTACCACATTGTTGATATGGCGGTGGACACTCCGATGTGCCGCTCCAGCCACATCATTATCCGGCACGAAAGCGGGCATAGGCCTCTGACGCGGGTACCGTCACAGCGGTGGGCACTGGTGCCCGTACCACTCAAGTGTCAACACAAGACACGGCACCACCCCCGAAACCGTCGCTCGCGACGGTGACGGCAGCAAGAACATGTGGACGCGCGCAACCAGCAGCAACAACGGCCACGACAACGAGGAGAGCAGCAGCAAGAACACTGACAAACGAAATGACGACGACGACGACGAGAGCGACGGCAGCCACGACGACAAGCGCCATAGCAGCAGCGACAACAACGGGTACGAGAGAGCAGCAAGAACGACGGCCGCCGCCAACAGTACGCAGAAGCAATAGCACCGACTCCAAACCCGCAACCACAGCAACACCACGCTATCGCATGAGGCGCCCAACACACCTGCTCGCGTATCCGATGCTGCACGTACACCCGGCTCCCCGTACCGTCCGGGTTAGACCGGGAGAACGCGGTAAAAAGGGAGAGATTGCCGGAGGCAGAAAGCACCTCCCAGTCCTGTTCGTAGAAAAAGTCTTTTTCTCGAAATCTGGCGAGAAGCGAGGAAAAGGGTTGACGATTGATTCGTGTACATGCGTATAGTACAAGGCACGTGCTTGCCGACATTAGATGGTTCATAGACTCGGTCGTCGCGGCTATTGTGTTGGTGCTGCAGCCTCACACCGGAGGACTGGACACGATAGCGGGCCGGGCGGGAGTCCAACAGAAGCGTGTGTTTGGCATTGGCAGCGTCGGACTGGGAAGAGTGCGTACCGTCGGTTGCATACGCGGATGCATATCGTACGATATCCGTTGCACCGATATTGACAGCTCGACCAACCTGCAATAACATCAACACGGATGGGCCAAATAGCGGTGTTGGAACTGTCTCGTCGAGAGCTTTCCGATCCACCTTCTTCGACGAGGAGGAATCGAGCCTTGGAAATGGGTACAGGGGAGCGGTGTCTTACGCAACATTCGGTAAGCTCCCCGAATACTGCCTTTGTTAAATGCACGGCAGATACTAGACTCTCCTCAGCACCACGGCAAAGGCGTCGGAGTAAAAGCTGAGAACGCAACCTACCATAGAACGCCAGGTACCGCTACCCAAGCGAAAAAAACAAATCCGCCAGCACCACATGCACAACATGCTGAACGACCATGAACGCTAATTCTTGCCGGTACGTCCGCCAACGTCGTTGGACTGAAGTCGTCCATCGGCTAACACGTCTGTCAAGATCATCGCAGAACCAGTAGGGTTAGTCATTGACTCTCTCTCTCTCTCTCTCTCTGACACACACCACCCACCTGCACCCGAAAAACAGCGTATCCGGCGGAGCCCCAGTCGCGCCTGTTCCAGGCCGCCCAGGCGACGGCCACAAGCTTCCATCACCACTACTACCAACCCCCGCCCCCCCCAACCCCTGCTGCCTCTGCCGCCACCGTTCTAAGACGACGCTGCGCATGGGCGCGACGCCAGTGCCGGGGCCGACCATGATAAGCGGGTGGCTGGGCGACTGCGGGAGCTTGAAGGTCCCCGGCCGAATGGAGATGGGCACCTGGACCGTCATGCCAACGCGCCGACAACCACGAAGACAACACATGTTTGTGCAGAAGCAGCAGGTGAGAGGCATGCATCTCGTGCAAACATACTTGGAACCTGACAAGGAGGGAAGCGGGGGGGCGTGAAACTGCGGTAGACATACTATCGGGGCATTGCGAGTGGATCTGAAAGTCTCATTTTGGAGTAATTGTTGTGGAAACGATTCGTATAATTCGGAAAATCTTATTGTCAGGGCGTGCCGGGGACAATATTTATACGAGGATGAGAAACAAATCCTTGGAAGCGGGACTCAAACCATCTTTGCTCCGGTAAACTATACTCGGGCACCAAACCTTCAGCAGGCACCCGTCTGCCTGACCCCACCCCGAACCCAAAGCCATAATGCGTCGGGGAAGCACCTAGAGTGGAAGAGAAAATATTCATTGGAAGAGGGACTCGGTGACGCTTACGCTTCACAAAAATATCGCTTTGACACTAACACCTCAGCGGGTGTAGATCTGCATGCGCACGTAGAAGAAAAAAATGTGCCTGCACTCATTCATGTTGTACTCTGTGGGGACAGACACGCGAATGAACATGCGGGGAGTTGGCGCCCTTCTGCAGTGTTGCCGTAATCACCAGCGATCGACCTTAAGCTCGGACCCTATCCCCCGGGTGAGGGTTGGTATGCATTGGCAAGGTCCTAGTCGTCGTTTAGGCTCAAAAATAATACTGGTAGCTTGCAGCAAATGTCTGCACTTTTTATGTATAGGAAGAAACACACTAGACCCGAGAAGGCGACGCTAAGACCTGACTCACCTCCGCTGCTCCTGGCGTGAGGGAGGCTAGCCAGCTTGAACAAACGCCAGTTCGCAGTCGTTTGTACGGGGTGCTGAAAAGGAAGGAGTGGGCGGTTGTTGAGACAAATTTCCGAGGGGTTTGGCTGAAGAAGGGTCGGGTACACGATTTGCGGAGCTCACCAGGGGACGGTGAGACTAGCTTCTTCGGATGGAATTTCTGTCACCACTGCCGAGCATCTAACCCTAGCAATCATATACCGCAAAACATTACTTTGAAGGATGTGCACCCCAAGAGGGCCGCCCGGCGGTACCGCAGGTGTCCCCGTGTATCACCTCAATGTGATATTTGCCCAAATTCCCTTTTCTGGCCCCGTGGACCACCCTAATATATTGTGTCCTTAAATTCCCTTTTCGTATCCACTCGATAACCTAGTAGTGGGTTCAACCCTGATCACGTGGTAGTGGATGAACCGACGTGCTCCAACGGCACCAGGTCGGAACTGTTCGGAGCGTTCCCACTATTCGAGAGACCAATCCTCGCGCAGAGGCTTTCCGCTTGGCGCCAAATAGCGACAGCATTCAGCTGATTAAGGCCCCCGAAAAACGGTAAAAAAAAAACGTCAGTCGATGTATTCGCAAGAAGTGTTGCGCATGTCAAGGTGTGCGATGCGACGGCAGAGAAATCAAACCAAAAGCCGGCAATCTTCCTACCAGCAGTGCTCACCGGAAAGACACGACGGCCATGCAAAGGTGCACCTGGGAGGGCGTTTCCAGCGCCGACGACGCGATGGAAAATCCTCGGGGGCGTAGCCTCGGCACTAGCTCTAGCAGCCTCTCCGGAGGAACCTGCGGCATGGGTAGGTGAGTATTTTCTTTGATTATATTTCGTATCTGACCCTTGAAAGCTGAAATCATGGATCTGTCATGTACATTTCTCTACAGTATGTGCGGGTGTCACCCGTTACCTGTGCGTTTCCGCTGCTGTTGCTGTTGCTGCTGCTGCTGTTGCTGCTGTTGCTGCTGCTGTTGCTACTGCTACCCATACTACTACAAATTTTCATGTTAGATGTGGCGCCGCGATTCACAAGGTTGCCAGTACAAAGGTCGAGAGGTATGGAACTAAACCATGTGCCCCATAGCTGGCATCCTGCCCACCTTGCAGGACGGGAAATCTCCGAAGACCTCAACATAGCCGCGTTTCTCTCGCGTAGCGTACTCGTACAACAAGTCCGCCCCTGCCGGAGACGCAAGCTCCTCCAGCTTTTCCTTCTCCTCGTCTTCGGTGGCGAAGACAGATAGGCGTTCGAAGAAGGATCGCCGTGGAGTTCCCGAGATGTCAAGCACCTCCGTTAGCAGGAGCCGTAGCGTGGACACTGGAGGCAAGAAGAAGCCTGCTTGTTGTGGGTCACGCCGCTGTTGTCGCCGAGGTCGGACTGGAGCTGTCGCCGACACGCCCGCCCCGGGCGGCTGTGTTCCTTCTGCAACAGCCCCGCCTTCTTCCCTAGCCACCGGCGCATCCGTCGCCACCGGCTTCGGCTGAGGAAGGGCGGGAGCGATGCGCACAACTTGGTCCAAATCTAGGCCCATCGCCACAGCCAACGTTTCCACCGCTGATGCGTTGTTGGATGGATGAACCCATGCAACATCCCCGGCCTCGTAACTTGCCCCTCCCGGAACGCCACTAGCATCGAACTCCAGGTGTCGGACGTCTTGGAAATGTCCTTCAGCGGTCAGCCTGTTGTGGTGCCGTGGCAGCAGCGGGGTGAGGATGAGGGGCGGGTAATCTTGATCGTACACGCCGTCGCAAGATATTCTTGGGGGGTTAGATCTTGTACATGTACCCCGATGCAAACAAAACAAACACCTGAGAGAAGAACCGGTAGGGATCTCGCCGACAAGGCTCGTACAGCAACAGCCGCGAGACAGGTCCCAGGTGTTTATACGAGGACAAAGAATTGTATGGATAGGAAGGAGAAGGGTCGCATTTGTGGGTCGGGCGTGGGCACCAAGGGAGTTCTTCGTTCATCCATATGGCTGTAGGCCGTGAACAGGAAACAATCGGAGAATACAGATTGAAAGGTACAATAAATGTGACAACAGACTGCCAAATGGTTGACTTGATCCTAGAAGGTTGAACAAGCTGATGGAGAGAGTTGACACGCTGGAAGACAAGATTGAAAGGCGTGGAAGACCTTTCCAAGGGAGCCACGTATCTCTTCCCCTCGGTATACCTTAACGTTGACAGATGATCAATTAACCACAGAGGTACTGCACGCGGGGGAGGCAGGCAGGCGAATCAAGAACCACCACTTGAAACCGTACCGCGACAGTCGAGCAAAGCTCAGGTCTATGCCCTCCCGGCAGTCAACCGAAGACAGAGGAAGGATTTCAAGGACGAAAAATGAAACCCCTTCGCACTATGTTAAGCACCCTGCCGTGGTCGTACGGGCAAAGACCATGATACAATCAAGACTCTCAACATGCCTTACGTTGCATAGCTGTAATGCCAACGACCCCCCGCACCGTGGCATGACTTCACTCCCCTTACGTCCCAAGTGGACACGGTATTCACACTTCATCTGATGTTCTTCCGCCCGCCCCCTCCCGTACATTCCCCATTTGGTTGTACTCCCTACCCGGTGTCCGAGCGCAGGTTGCCCGCTAGGCAGGCGGCGGAAGGCTCACCTACGGTTCACAAGCAGTCTAGCCGGAGCGGGTGCTCCGTCGCTGCGCGTGGCTGGCCTTGGTGGGGCCATGGAATCCCAGAACTCGCGCCTCCCTGCCTCGATCTCTGGAAGTAGAATGTGGTTCCCGTGTTTTAGGAGGCGCACGCAGTCGGAGCGCATTCAAAAGTAACGATCCTTTGTCGGTTCCGAGGGAGTGAATGTGTGGGGTGCACAGCAACAGGGCAACTCGAAACACCTCGCCAGCTCCAAACAGCGTCTCGCCCGGCGCTGGAGACGACCTCTCCAGATAGCCCTAGATGTGGTAGTAGACTTCTGGATGCCTCACCACAATACAACAAAAACGCTCTCTACACCAGGCAGGAGGTTTTCGGGAACTCGTTCGACCGTGAGGCTGGCGAGGCTGGGACAAGAGCTCAGGTGTTTGAAGAAGCCGAGCTAGGAGGAGGACAAGTGTGCCGCACGTAGTTCCAAGGCCTGGCGCTTTCAGGTGCTGTTTAAACCTCTAAAAAACATCGCAGCTACGACAGGAGCGCTGGCACGCCGCTAAGGATGATGTCCAAGACACGCCGCCTTCAGAACAATGAAAGCGCCCCGTCTCCAACCATCATTCTCTCGATGCCTCTTTGTCCTCCACCGTCTCTGTATCTGTTCCCCGTTCTGCCTGTCTCTCTCCCCCTGTGTTCTCCCACCCCCTTGTTGCCTGGTCGTGGTCACACCAGTCACCAAGTGCGTGGACGCGAATTGGCCCAGACATTGTCCAAAACCTTTGCTGGTAGAATAAATTCCTCCACCCCGGTTCGGGATGTCATTCCTAGAAGCCCTTGCTGTACGTAGTCATCTTCCCATTCCCAGAAAAGAAGACAAAAAAAAAAGGCTTGAACCCGGTACGCACAACACACAGGGGGCGGACAACACCGTACCTGCGGAGGAGCTGTCAGAAGCCTCAGCAGGAGTCATGCTGAACACGGGTGGCTCGAGGCGAGGGGTGTCATCTACCACCGTTCCTTCAGGAAGAGGTTTGATTTGTAGGAGGCCTGCCCATAGGGAGGCCAGCCACGGGTCGAGGTCTCCCCACATTCCCCTAGGGCTTTGGTCGTCGCCCAGACCTCGTTCCACCTGGTTCCCGGTAACGGTGGTATAAAACTGGTTTCGCGGCTCGGCTAGTGCACAACGAACGCCACATCGACACGCAGCACAAAACCAAGGGTGTTGTCCGAGGGCGATCCATAGGTTTGGCGTTGGTGGCCCATGCCCCCTAGCATGATCGTGGGGGAGTTCAACTCAAGTAGAGGACAAGGTAAGGCCGCGGACGAAAGCGGTGAGTCCCGACCAGCCTGCGCGCTTTCTGGGGTACCGCACTTCGTCAAATCCACCATCGTCTGCAGCATGCAAGACCTTTGAAGGCCGTATTCGAAGGTGGTGCCCACAGACAAAAACTACTTTGACACACAACGGAAAAAACTACTCACCAGCTCGACGGCGCCCAGCTGTAACAAGCGCGCGTGCAGCTTCCTCGCGGTGGCGTTGTACTTGGTGTAGCCGCTGTCTCCCAGACCAAAAATGGCAAAACACATGTTCGCCAAGCAGTCCTTGGGCAAACCCCTGAGTTCCAACACAACGATCGAGCGCGGTACAATTGTACACCAAACGCAGAGCCGCCGGCGGTAAAAAATCAGGGAATTGCGGCAGTGCCTAGGGCAGCGACTCGCCCATAGTCCAGAACTTGTACGAAAAACGATGTGTTTGCGCTCTCGTGGTCTCGCGGGCCTCCGAAAAGGTTGTACGCGCCCACCTTCGCAGGAGAAATCGCCAGAACGTGGACATGTTGCTCGGCACCTCCCCGTCTCCGGTGGTGCTCACGACGAACACGGCCAGAGAGCACTCTACCGCGTGCGAAATGGGAACGGAATCAAGTGACGCGGCAGCCGTGTCGAACCCCCGTCGCCCCGCCATGGCTGCAACGTACTCGGCGACCTCCTAATTTGGGAGAGCAAGCATACAACAGGTAAAGAGGTGATGTGAGCTACAGCAGTATACCTCTCAATGCAAGCACAGACCTTGCTCCGAAAACGGCAGAGCCAGTGCACAGCAGTACACAGAGAGAGGTGAAGGCAGCAGTGAGACTACTGTAGGATCACCCCCGCCCTGTTCCGAGAAGATTCATCGCTGTAGATGTCCATGTAGACACGGCAGTCCGGTCGCCTTGGAGCACCCTACATCCCGCTGTGATCAGCACGGTGTGCACCCACAATCTCTTTTTGAATCATAAAGTTGACAGTCCCGCCGTCTCCTGTTTTTTTTCCTCGAACACGCTGCTCTGGTCGTACCTGCGCCGTCCCGGTTTCACTGCCGTAATAGACATCGAGGTGATGAACCATGGAGGCTACGCGAACCCTCCCGTGGTGGAGAGAAACACGCCGCTGACGCCTATCCACACCACAGAGTAGAGAGACCCTGAGTGCTAGGCACAACACACAACAAGACGATGTGGTCATGCAGCCCCATGCTTCACACTCTGCGTAACCCCTGGGTTGGCTTGATGGCGGATCGTGATGATCATCCATCATTGTCTCGCTTTTCTCTCTCTGTCTCTACGTCGCCCGCCAACGTACGATGAAGGTCATCGTTGTGCCAGTACTGGATGACAACTTCGCCTACTTGCTTTCCGATGCAGCTGGCGTAACAGCAGCTGTTGATCCAGCCGAGGCTGACAAGGTATGCCTCATGATTCAGGAACCTCACACCTACGAACGCCTTGCAGCAACGTGTTTTTTCTGTTAGACAGTCTACATAGCGCATCGAGTTGCCGGTTGTTCAAACACCCCAGCTTTCGCATAGGGGTCAGTACTCTTGCAGTTGTGGTGCGTATCTTCTCGGTGGTAGAAATGTTCGGCATCGCTCCTCACCGGACCGTGCCTGCTGTACCGTGGCAGCAGGGCGGGTTGTTTCCTCACTTGACCGGCGGCGCGACGAACATCCCGTTTGTGCGGGTCGACAACAGATTCAAAACACCAAACCGATCTACTTCTATTGTACAAGGAATGTCTACGTACACAGTTGTTGTAGTTTACATGTCAAGTGTGACCCCAGGGTGCGCTACTTCCTTTTCGACGCATTGCTCGACTAGTACATTCTTCCAAATTAATTCTACAGCAGTGGTGGCTGTAGGACAAGCAATACATCAGCGATCAGCGCTTTTCACCCTTGCACTGCTGCGGTAATTTACCTAGGACCAGATCAAGGGTATCATGTTTTCTCATGGCAGTGGCAAGCGATGTCGACTCTCTGTCTGATCTTCAATTCGTAAGTTCTCTTGTATCGAGCCGCCATAACAGGTATTTTCGTTTTCAACTATTTGTATGCAAATGCACTCACTACTGAATAGATAGGCCGGTCGAACCACGTGCAACAATATATGCTCTCTCTCTCCAAAAGGTTTGAACGGTGTGTCCAGAGATACGCCACAGCTTCCCGGTACCGTGCACAGGCCCAGTCTTTTGTCTACTACAGGAAAGAAATGCCTGCTGACCGTGGCAATTTTTTATTCTCCTGCCTCTACAGGTGCTCAAAGTGGCCAATGACCAGGGACTGACGATCAGCAAGGTACTCACCACTCACAAGCACCACGACCATGCCGGCGGAAATAACGCCATCGCCCGCCGAATTACCGGACTGGAGATCGTGGGGGGCGAAATCGATAGAGTCCAGGGCGCGACTCGCACGGTCAAGGATGGGGACACACTCCGTGTGGGGGGAATCTCTGTCAAGTGCATACACACGTCAGGGTGAGGATGTGAATCTCGGTTTGGTCGGGTCGATGATCCCAACCTACAATGGTAGAATTGTGCTCGAACGTAAATGCCAATGGAATCCTGTCTTTCACGTGCCACTTGCAGAAGGAATCCTTCAATCTACGCATTTGCAGAACTCTCGGTGATATTGAGAACTGCCCGAGGCGCAGCTTGCCCGTGGTTTGCGACATATGAGGTTGCATGTGTAGTCGGCCGTTGCTTGTCAGAGAAGATGAAGAAAAACTTTGTTGGTCTACAGTAGAGAAGAGAGAAAGAGGTAAAAAATATTGTAGCGCCAGAGGAGCACCATAGCCCAACGGTGGTATGCCGACAAGACGCGAAGTCTCAACACGTAATCCCCTGCCAACGCGCTGCTGTTTTCCCGCAATGTGTCAGTAAATATGTTCTCGGAATCACAGTAGCAGATACTTTTGCAAGCATATGTAACATAACTCCCATATGCCTGTTCGTTTGCTGTTTCACGATTACGGTGTGCGTGGCATTATTTGCCCTGGAAGGCACACCATGGGTCATATCTGCTACTACGCAACGGAGGGCGAGCAGAAGGCCGTCTTTACGGGCGACACTCTATTCGTAGGCGGTGCCGGAAGGTTCTTCGAGGGTACGCCGGAGGAGATGCAGCACTCGCTCGGCGACAAGCTCGGAAAGCTTCCTCCCGAAACGCTTGTGTACTGTGGGCACGAGGTGAGGTACAGTATTTTTTCGCAGCTGACAAATATCACTGTTGTCGTGCACCTATGAACGGAGCGTCATGGTTCCGATCCTTGAAGTTTGACATCATAACGGCAACGCGTCAGCGGTTGTCCTAGTCAAACGGTATATTTTCTCTGAAGGCTTATGCAACACTCCCGCCTGAAATCAGCCGTCCATTCTGTTCCCTATTATGGCACCTCGGCCGCGGAGCTACTCTCTCCACTAAATTCTTGTAGGTGAGCTAGCTATTGAAGTGTTGCTGTAGGTTTGGTGTCACTCACTCACGAGATGCGGCGGCGGTCTCTCGGCGACACGCGTTTGTTCTGCCGCTCGAACGCCGCTTCAGCTTGGGGGAAAGGACGGTGGTCATGGGCGCCACCACGTAACCCAGGGTAGCCGTACCGACACAATTCAAGTACTGTAACATGCTAACCTCCGCCCGGTGTCTGATCGATCTCGTCAACCATCGGGACCGCCCCTTTCCCTCGTTTGCATTCCCCGCCAGTACACTTCGAGCAACTATTTGTTCGCCCAGAGTTTGGACCCGGAGAACGAAGATCTAAAGCGAGAGGTTGCCATTGCATCAGAACGCCTCCGCAAAGGCGAGCACACCGTGCCGTCAACAATTGCGAAGGAGCTCGCAACTAACCCCTTCATGCGAGCGCATGAACCATCGATTCAAGCTCGGGCAGGGCTCGGAGATGGATCGACGACCGCGGCGGTCTTGGGAAAGATCCGAAAAATGAAAAATGCTTTCTGATTTGAAATAATTTATTGTTGGAGTTCGTCGCGTTGTGTTTTCGTCGAGCTTAACGCCACCTGGAAATGGGTTATGGCGTTATGTTCACGCACCAATAAAGAGCACAGGACACTGGCGAGAAACTGGCGAGAATTCGCGCAACTTCGCAGACCTCCGTCGTAACCGAAACTGGCTGTTGCGTGGGTGACGCAGCGGTGGCATGCTGGATCCGCGACATGCCCGCAAACGTTACCCTTGATATGGGGAAATTGTGAGAACTCATGGTTTGCTAGCCATCCGGGGCCAGCGGTCTTCAAGCCCGGTCGAGAAATTGCGAGGAGTTCCTACGGGATTTGTTTCCCAATTCAATTGTGATTGGAAAGTGTGAACATGTGTATATGTCGGTTTTGAATTATTGGTTGATATCTGGACTACGCTGGAGTAGTTGGGCCATAGCCTTGCATCGCGTCGCCCAGGCAGTCTGGGCCTTTCGATTATAATAGTTGTGATAACTTCGGGGGGCATGCTTTGTGAGCTGCTATCCTTGATCTGATTGGCGGAAGCCATGCCATGACGTTGCAGCATCAGCAGCAGTCCGTTCGTGGACGAGCCACACGCGTAGTCGGCCAGTCATACATTAGTGTTTGTGGACGGTTAGCATTTCCGACAAGATCTTGTATGTATGGTTAGCAATGCTACTTGTGCCAGCCCCTCCTTATTAACGGGGCAGAAAGACCTGCCGACAGAGAAAGGCACGGTAATTGTACGCGGTCTTTGCTTGGTCCCGAATGTAGAGTTCAAGTCGACACGCGAAGCGTGTTATCGTGTGGCAGATTTTAAGCCACAGAATGTGTATGGACATAAGAACTAACGCCCGTTGTCTCGAGGCGAAAGACAAGTTATTGTGAACACATGCGTTCTTTCGGAAGCCAGCAGCCCTGAGCCCCGCCATTGCCGCCAAGAGCAGCAGAGGCACACCGCGTCGTGTCAAGAAAATAGTACCAGATGCCGTATTAGCCCTTGCTTGCGTGCCCTCGAGAAGTCGGATTCATCCAGTCGCTTCCCAAAAACGTTTCATTCTTGGACGTCGTTCGGCGACAATTCAGCATACCCGGACTCCAGAGGTTTTCAGCGTCCATGGCAAAGAAGAGAGTCTCAAAGCGCGCGACCAGTCGAGGTCTGCGACGACCACACCTAACCGATTCACCGTTTCGCTGCGGCGCGACACGCGACAGGATACCGACTCGATGCACGTCGTAGCCATGCCGAGAGTCCCGGTATGTCCGAAAGGGAGGCACGTAGTCTTTCACTGGGCATTCCGGCAGCACCTCAGACTGAGGCAGCGTGGAAAAACTCTTGCGCCTAAACCGGGAGATGCACGATATATAAAGAAATTGTGACACCTTCGCCTCGGAGAAATATGTGCTATCTTTTCCTTAACCATCGTTCGATTTCTACGACAAACAAGGAGGATATTTGCCCGGCTGCTTCTACGACAGCCGTCCCGTCCAAGTCCATTGCTCTTGCCGACGATGATGGAGAAGACTCTCCGTCCGCCCCTAGGCTCTTCCGCCGCCCTTCTTCGTAACGCCGTCTATCCTTCTCCGTGAAGTACCGTGCTACCGCTCCAGGAAGTCCCGACCCCACGCCATACAGGAATGCTGTTCCGAGGAGCAGCAAGACTATCCGCCGTGCTGTCCAGGTGGCGTAGCTGGCGACCTTAGGCGCAGCGTCCCACACCTTGTCGGTAGCCAGTTTACCGATGTCACGGGCAGATTGCGCCCCCGCCGACGCGATCTTCTTTGAAGCCGTGCCACCGGCTACCACGGCGCCTGTAGCCGCATCCTTCGCTGCCTGTTTCAATGTTACCAATGTGCGCTGGGTGAGGTGCTGTACCTAGACTGCGCAGACAACCCCTAACTGTACGCACGGTTTGGGTGTTGACACGCATTTCGATTTTGGTCGTATCAAAGAAGTTTCGCATTGCTAGCTCCCTTGTAGACCGCGAGCCTCTCGCGAAACAACAAGCACAAGTTCTTGTTCGGAGACGGCGGCGAACTCTTCATGTAGAGTGGTCGTGTGTTTGTCGCGAAAACATAGAAAGGGTACAGAGGGGGGTGGCGCCGGCGATATTTGAAACATGGCAGAATCGAAAAAAATCAGATATCGCTATGGATGGAAACAGATGCTGCAGCCTTGGCCCTGCAGGTAAGCTAAGCGGCAAAAGAAAAGTCTACAGTATATGGTAGCGGTAAGGGTGATGGCGGTGGACGACTTAATGGCGGATGAATCCATCGATATTGAAACACAGGGAGAAGGTAAATTGACATTCTGAGATGTGCGCCGTCGGGCTCGAGGGAATGGCCAAGGGGCCGAGACAGATCCACTTGTAAGATAGACGCACCCTCGAAAACAACAGAAGCACCGCTCTCCGAGGGAGATGGGCATTGCTACGCGAGCAAGCCCTCGATTCCTCCAATCTGGAGATGCAGGACTGCTGTCGCACAGAATACGTTTTTTTGCCCGACTTCAAGAATGTTCGTGAACTGATGCATATTCTTTGCGGAGAACCGGGCCCTCCTTGTCTCTTCAATCGCTGCTCGAATGGTGAACAGACCAAGTCAAGTCGTGTCCGCTATAGAGGGCGGAAGCTGCTGAATCTCGGGGAGTCTCCATGGTTCGGGATTCCATACCGAGGCATACTTGCAATACCGCGACTTTCACGCCGTACCTCGAGATCAGAATAGGAGACCAACGTAGAGTGCATTTTGGGGATCTCTGCATCAATAGATCTAGGTCCTCCCCCCATAAAGTTGTCAGGCAATCTCACCAGGGCAATCTCTGCATTAGGTCACGTCAGTGATGGCTGTCTTATCTTCATATCAATTCATGTAGCACAACCTCTGCACTAGGGATCCTTAACCCAAATATTACTCGGAGTTCTGCATTGGGAAATCCCAACCAAATTCGTTGTGCGAAACTGTCCAACACAACCTCCGCGTCATGGAATTTCAACCCAAAATCAGATGTGTTCGAACTCGTACAACCTCTACAATAGGGCAACCTCTGCATTACGGTTGGGTAGAATTCATTTAAGTTCCTGGGTTGAGCTTCCCCAAGCCAATAGGGTGTTGCACGAGACCGGTCGCCCTGGTGGTCTAGTGGTAACCTCGAAACCGCTAGTCGCACAGGTCGTAAGTTCGAATCCCAATGGGGTAAAAATTTACAACATTTGCGGGTGAAAGCGAAACGTAGCTGAAAAAGCTCTCGTGATGACCAAACTTCGACGTTAACACCGTCGACGAGGGAAAGGGACGGCTGGACCCTTCTCGCGACAGATATAAAAATTTAGCACGCACCGCAGGAGGAAGGTGGCCTCGATAAAAATAATAAGAAGAAGAAGAGCCCTGGTTTTTACCCCCTCCTGTGTGACCCTGGATGGCTGTAGTTGTATGAAAAGATACACTGAAAGGTGTAGTACTCATCATACACTGAAAATCGTACATACACTGAAGAGCGTAGTACACGTCTCACCATGAAAAATGGGGTGACGGTTGCCATAATCAATAAGTTTTGGTTGAGGTCCCGTAATTGTTCAGCGTGATGTTGTTCCGTTATGCTGAGGTTCTGCTAGCCATTCTGTGGTGGAAGGGTCCCTAGGGCGCCGCCCCCCCCTGGAAATATTAGGGGAGGGGGGGAGGGTCCCTAACGAGGAGGATCCCCTAACGAAATACAGCAGTAAACCGTGCGCCAAGAGTCGGGGGGGAATAGACACAGACACCGACCCGACGAGACTGCAACTTCAGACTACATTCCGCTTAGCCCACTTCTTGGAGCAGCAGATGTGAGCATCCCAACGAGTAAGTAGAAGTAGAACGTATGAGATGGCGTGTTGATGACAGATGCTGCTTGTCATCATCACCCCCTGTGCCCTGTGGGAAGTTCCTCCCGAGTTAACCCCGGATGCTGTCCGTCTTCGACCGAGGGGAGGCAAGCGAGCTTTCCTTGCGAAGTGAGTTTTTCCCTCGCTTCGGTTCCTGGCCTGGGTGGAAAGCGCTACATGTTCGTGTGAACACAGAGGCTACATGTTCGTGTGAACACAGAGGGAAGAGAGTGCAGCACTCTTCTTGGAATAAAAATCGCAAAGCACCGCAGGAGGGGTGGGTATGGGTCCCCAGGGAGAGGAACCCTTCTGTGTGACCATGGGTCGGAGTAAATGGCACAAATTCTGTGAGCGCTGATGCGAAGATCGCTACATCTCCCACTTGGATACAAGGTAACAGGTGGAGGAATACACACATTGTATCATGAACATCCACTGCTGAAAGAGGGGCTCAACCGCCGCCTTCGCGTTTAGTGCCAGCCAGGTGTTGCCGCCCTCGACGAGGGTGAACGCCCAACCGAAAACCGTTAAACCCGCAAAGAGATGTGTTTACGGCGCTCGTGCGGCATGACTTGTATGACTGCAAGTCAGAAGGTCCGGGGTGGAGGGCTGCACCTCCCACGAACGAAGGAGCAGCACCGTTGCATTCGGCCATTGACTCATACCTGTGCGGCCTTCGATGGGATCGATCTCGCACTTTCCACAAACTGCTTGCCCACTCTTGACGTTGCATCCTCGGCTCGGTCTCGTGCCGATTTCCCATAGCTGGCGCTCTTCTTGACAGTATTCCTGACCGCGTTGCGGACATCCTTGGCGTCCTTGCCGGCAGCAACTTCGCCGTACTTCTTTTCAAGGAACGACAAGTTTCCACGTGCAGTTTTCTTCAGGGAGCTCGGCTTTGGGAGGGTTTGCTGGATCTTGCGCCACCAATGTGACATAGCTCTGATTGCGTCCAGTTTCTGTTTCCAATTCCCTCTCTCTTTGCGGTATGGCGCACTGCAAGGTGCAAGCCCAGGAAGGTCGACAGCAGACAGGGCCGAGGCGGTGGAATTGGGGAGGACGCAGCTGGGCTCAGATGCGCGACCTACAAGCTGGGGGGGATTATCCTGTCTGGCTGCTGTCACCATCATCTGTCTGCATACCCGCGTTTTCGCCACAGCGAACCCTGGCATTGTAACCTGCAGGCTGCCTACAATACATACACGGCGGACAAGACAGAATACCCAAGGCTACCAGGAGTACTCAAGAACGAGAACGCACCGCTCCATCGCGCGTCCACGGCGCCTGTGTAGGTCGAGCGTGCTTCAGGTGAGAGGCTTGGCGAGTTGGGCAGGGCACAGAAAAAAATGTGCGGAGAGATGGCGGACTCAAGCGGTGTGTGTGTGTGTGGCACCTACGATACATAATTTAGCCTATACGTCCAGTAGCACCGCTGCCTCACTCCTCGAAACAAAAGCACGATATTAATAATACCAGCTGCTCGCAGAAGGTCTCCCCAGTACGCCGTCCAAGCATGTTGCGCGCGGCCCCAGGCATGTGCAAAAAAGAGACGAATATTGCAACCCCAAAGTTCGTCCGCACAAGTCACTAGCGGCTTGGAAAGCGCTCCCCAGCACGTTGTCTGTGAGCATGCGGCGCCCGGTCCCGGAAACACCGGCGAAAATAGAGACGAATGCAAGTTCGTCCACGTGTGTTTTTTCCCAGTCCCACACATGCTGTCTTCGCAGGAAAGAAGTGCCGCGGGCACCTGTACCATCCTGATGCACCTGTACCATCCTGATGCAGGCACCATTGGATGACATGAAGATACACCCGGCTTCTGGCTCATGTTGAATTCTGTGTCCTGGACACAACGCAACGTCACTTGTTTTTCGACGGAAGAGAAATAACCAGAAATGGGTGCATGGGTGCTCCTATCACCATTGTAGGGTACACCTACCACTCAACACCCATGTTGGCCAAAATGCCGGGTACTGTTACAAACTCTCCTCGCTGGCATCGTGACGCTCTCAGTACCCTCTGTTGGTTACTATTACAATGTATGGTGTACCCTGAACGGATCAATTTCTGCGGACTCTGAAACCCGCCGCTACAACGATGTACCGCAAACAACACACCCACCCATAGAGGACAGGGTTCTCCGATATCCTCCTACATAGAACGTAGCGAAACCAACCCCCCCTGTCCGTGCCCTCTCTGTGTGTTGTACAGTACACGGTTGTGGCGGTGGGTTTCAGAGTCGGCAGGCGCGGGTATTTTTTGTGACCAGTTCTGGGTACAATTTGAGCCGTTCCGGGGTACACTACATTAGTATCCAGCAAAGGGTACTGAGGGTCGAGATGCCAGTGAGGGTTGTACCCGCGGGTCAGGTGTTTGGCACGATGACATTTTGGCCATTACATGGCTCCCTGGGAGTACCTACATGCGCCTTGAGTTTTATGTGTAACCACAAATGGCGATAGAACAACCGCGAGCATACCCGTTTCTGGTTATTGGTCCGTGCCGAATATCTTTCTGCCCCCCTACCAATGTGAAGACAACGGCAGCAAGTACTGCTGCACATTCTCGTGTTGTTGTTATTGTTGCTGTTGCTGCTGTATTGTAGCTTTTCAGCATCGCGGGAATCGGAGATTATTTTGCAACGGCTCTCGCCGTACGTAATGGGGATCCAAATTTTCGCATACGGTGAAGAGGCGCATGAGCGTGACTCAATCCCAATGCCAGCATGTCCATTATGGGGGTTTGGGGTGGGGCTGGGCGTGTAATGTCGAAAACGTCCGACACCGGGGCTCCGTGGGGTCCGAGATCGGAGTCTCTGTGGTAGAAGGAGTTGCTGGTACGAATTTCACCATGCTGGATCATTTTCGGTAACCCCGCCGCCGCAGTATTGGCGTTCAGAGTCGATTTGGACTGAGAACTGCGTGACCTGTTTCTGGCTTTAACAAACGATTATGTACCTCAATCAATAATCACCACGATATGGAAAATCGTACCAGAATGAAACAAGCGAAAATGAACGGTGCCCTTCCAGGAAAAGCAGGTTCAGTAATTGTCGCAATGAAAACAACGCCACTAATACGAGCTTCGTGGTGTATGATTGTTTTCCAGAGCCTCCGTGCAAGACGCAGATGCGGCAGCCAGCAAGAGCCTCTCTCATGGTGTACCGAGCCGGTGTGTTCCTCTGTGAAGAATCGGGGACCCACGGAGAGTAAAATGTACCCATTCTCGGTTTGAGAAAATGAGACCCATTTTTCCGAAAACATGTATTATAGTAGGTGCGTCCGTCCTTCACGCTGGGAACTCCCCGCTCAAAGGGTGTTTGTCCTTTGAGCGTTAGGTGTCCTTTGCGCGGGGACCACTGCTGTAGTTCAAGCACACCGGCGCAGCGCCAATGGAGAACACACATGGCACAATGGTGCACGGCAATCAATCGTGAATGTTGCGCCCACACGGTACTGCTCATGTTGTATCATAGATGAGCATCGACATAGCGGAGCTTCGCCGCCTGGAGGCTGAGCTGGAGAACTCATGTGAAGAATGCCAAAACCCATACGATCGAGACGCCAAGCTAAATTTGCTCAAGTTTCTTCAAATCAAGGCGGTACTGCAGTTCGAAAGAGCGTACGACCAGTTGTACTACGAGCTCAACAAGGATGGAGGGCTTAAGTGTCTTCGCGAAATCACTCCGGCGCGGCCGAAGGACCTCCTCCAGCCCAAGGTCTTGGAGCTACAGGACTGCCATGAGGACGTTCGATTTGCAGCACAGTTAGATTTCTATCTTGCGGACGCCAAGCTTGCAAAGAACCATTTGGACGAGCTCGTCGCAGATATAACGAAAGGCACGGGGGGGTGCCAGGTTCAGTGCGCGGAGGTCAAGTCACGAGCAAGCACACAACGAAAGGCCAGAAAGTCATATGGTGCGGACGTTCGAAAGGTTGCTGACATGGCGAGGGTAAGCGTGATCTGTGACACACCGGAGACCTTTAAACGGGCGTACTTGGCTATCGTGGAGTCGTTCCAGGTGAGGGGGTCACGCAGATTTGCAGACGACCCGCAATTCTGCAAGTGGTGTCTTACAAGTCCACCCGGACTCACTGGGTTCTTTCATTTTGGTTCTTGAGGTCACTTCGGTCGGCCGTTTTGATTTTGGTGCTTGAGGTACCTTCGGAAGATCGGGAAGGCCCAACTTTTCTACTGCGCCTTGTTTGTTGAAGTAGCTGTCGCAGATAATGTTCGGGATAGTCGGGCATCGATCGTTATCGTATCAATGTTATAACAAACATGACAACAAGAGGGGGGTCTTCGCCTCCCCGCCCCCCTCTGCCGAGAGCCAGTCGAAGCCCGGAAACAAACGCAGATGTGTGAAGGAAAAGACCAAATGTCAAGGGTTTCAAGAGGAAGTTGTTTCCACGTATGATGGACGTTTTGCGTTTGTGGTGGTTTCGGCTTTAGTGATGGACATTTGACATAAGTTCAGGGTCGATGGTTGTAGAATTCAGGTCGGTGTGCGTCCGTGAGCCGTTGGTCTGGTAAAATGGGTATGAAAGCACCAAATGCACGAACATGACTCGCATCTAATGTACTTGGTGAGAAAGCAAAACATCGACAATGAATTCCCAAACGCATGCTTTCGGGCGTACCTTCGTCATCATCAGGAAGTCGAACCTAGAACGCGAAGGCCAACAACGATATATCTAGCAGTTCTTGACGCAATCAGGTATGCGTATTGTGTAACTAAAGCGCGGTACGAACAGTTAACATTTACCTGGTAACATATTATTTATCTGAAGTATGTATTATGCGTGATCTCGCACGCCTCTCATTTCTTCCATTCTGCGTGGCCTTGAATTGCCAAGAAATAACGTGCCCCTTATGCGTTGGATTACAGTAACAGATGGCGCGACTGAGTCTCGACTACCATCTTGAACGTACTCATACATACAGGGAGACGTTCTTCGGGTGGCAAACGGCTTCAACTCCGACTGGATGCCTAGCGGTTATCGGGACGTGAAAGTAAATCCCGTCGTCAACGAGCACCTTTGCGAGATTCAGCTGCACCTCCACGACTTCTTCACACTGAAAAGCGATCAACATGCCGTGTACGAGTGGGCGCGGGACCTCAAAGTGACCACGATGTTGCGCGCTGAAAACCTGTTCGACTTTCTATCCCGTGATATTACGGAGGAGATGATCCGCTTGGCTCAGCGGAACTGGCATGGGACCGGGCGCTTCCTACCACGTCTGCAGCTCGATGCTGGGCAGTACGACCAGGCCGAGAAGGGTTTTAGACAGGTGTTTGCGTAGGAATACACTGTCGGTGCCTCACGTTGTGTTTGCCCACATTTTCGGCATTGGACCAGTAGCCCCGTATGTGTGTACGAATCGTGTAATGCCAGGTCCTGTAACGTGTGACTAATAGAGACCACGTGCGTTCATTTTTTTTAGGAACTTTCAGAGGCCGAAGACAACAAACGGGGTGTGGAGGATAAGGACAACAAGGAATCGAGAAAGAAGTCGCTCAGATCGGCCAAGGCTAGCCTCGGCTGTGTCCTGGGTTTAAAGGTAGGGCGCAAGCATTTTGATCACTCAAGCAGTTTCGGTATTCACCGAGCACGGTCGCTCGACAGCGGTAAGGGGGGCCGGTCGGGGGGAGTGTACTTATCCTGTATGCGAACAATAACACGATATCGACCGTCCGCGTGCAGAGTCCCGGTCTGGAGCATGGTATCAGTAGAGGGCACCATGGAGAGGTGAGGCCTGTGTTGGCGCGCTCAGATCTGCTACCGGGGCTATGATATCGGGAGCCACAGCAGTAGCTTAAAACCTCCTTGTTCTTGACCGAAGCGAAACGCTTGTCGCAGTTGAACTCGTCGCCACGACCTTCTCTCTCCTGAACGCGGGTCTCCGGCTACTGCTTTAGACCCGCAATTCAGGACATTCGTGTCAGTGTCAGCGAGTGGAGCAGTGGCAGTCAGCGGGTGTCGGTCCAGATTGCTGAGCTTTCCATGCCGCCGCTACGCTGTTCGATGTCCAAGCCCCAGCAGTAGTTACGAGCGTGCCAAAGCACACGACCCTGCAGCAGAGTGTTGTATACTGATATAATATTAGTACAAGTCGGGAGTCCTCCTAAGTCCCACCATATTTGAAAAGACTACATATCGTCTTGGCCTAGGGGCCGCGGCATTCATTTCTGGCTTCACTACAACGTGCAAAAGCAGGGGTTGAGAGGGGAGTAAATAGAGAGCAACATCGATTTGTTACGACGGGCATATTGTTCTCCATCGCTGGTCGTAGTGTTATTCAAAAGCGCTACAACTCAGGTGTGGGAGTTGAGGGCCAAAGTAAAGGCATCACGTCAATATCAAGGCCAAAGACTATTGGACAGCAAGATACTGAATTCAATGCATCACAAGGCAACCCACCAGGCGCTCGCAGTTCGCACATGTGCCTTTCGACCGCAGTGAGCTCTACGGGCCTTGACCGAATTTAGCTTTCATGATTTCGCGTTTCCTCCTCGTTCCAGCCAGTATGAAGAGGCAGACCCCTGAACATACGGGCCCGGGAAATATTATTGTCGGATATAGTCATTCAGGGTTTGCATCAAAAAGTAATTGTTGCGTGTGGTTGCAGAGCCTGTGTTCCTCCGCAAACAGCTTGACTCGCCTTGACCGCATTTTCAGCTGTGACTGTTAAGAACTGTTCAGAGCCAACGTGAGGAGATCGTCTCTATGTATCCAAAGTCATTAATACTGCAGAGGTCGTCCCGGATTACCCACCTATGGGCTTATGCCTCAACGCCAGGGCACAGTTGTAGGGCACGTATTTCTCTGCACTCATGCAGAAGTCTTGGCCTATGTCCAGTCGCGCTACGTCTTTGTATACTACCATTCTATGGAAACCAGGAGGAGGCTGGACTGATGTCTGGACTTTCCCAAACCATTCGCGAGGAAGTTCTTGGACCTGATCACCCTGGCGTGGCCTCACCGGGCGTGGTAGCTGATAGTGTGTTCCCCGGCCGTTCGCCGTTCGATCTAGATCCGACCTCCACTGCCATACACCTCTGCCACGTTGTCCCACTGCACTTCAGGGCAAGTACGCTGAGGCTGAGGCTCTCTATGCGCAGTGTCAGGCGATAGAAGAGGAGATTCTAGGCCCCGAGCACCCATGCCTGGCCACGACCCTCCACAACCTGGCGGGTTTGTTGCGGAGCCAGGTGAGGGCCGTCAAACGTTACTTCTAGCGATTTCACTCTCGATCGTTTTTAACTCGTAGAGAGACACGGCCAGAAGCCTCTCAGGGCAGCCGCTTGATTGCATTACTGCGTAAATGTAGTTCTTACTATACCGCTCCCCGAAATGACCTGGCTGCTTCCCACGCATGCTTAGAACGAAGGGGCGGATCCGCTATACGTTCGAGTTTTTAAGATTGGGGAGAATACTCCCACCCCCGTTTGCGGAAGCTTCGTCAACAGCCATTTGTTTTGTCCGCCGCGAGATCTAACATCCTGTACCATGACATATTCCCGTCTCCCGCTCCCCCTCTCACTACAGGGCAAATACGAGGAGGCACGAGCATTGCACCAACGTTCCCATTCCATCTTCGAGAAAGCTCTCGGACCTGACCACCCTGATGTGGCCACGTCGCTGACCTCCCTGGCGGGCTTGTTGCAGAGCCAGGTGAGAGCAGTCAAAGCCGTTCAAGAAACCAGATGCACGTATGATTCTAAGCTTCTGTGATGTTTTTTGCTGCCCCAACCATCTTGAGGTAGGGTCATAGGCACGCATATGGCTCACGTATCATCACCTAAAGCATGCACATCTTGTGATGTCCCTTTGGTTGTATTGAGTTCGCAGACGGTGATGTCCAGGGACTTGTCAGGATCGCCATTTGGTTGAGTTGATTCAAGGGTTTTCCAATGTTAATTGATGAAGCACTTCTCTTCACGACATTCAGCGTGATGGCTGATACCATGTTCCCCAGCCGTTCGATCTAGATCCGATCTCGACTGAAATACCCCTCTGCCGCACTGTCCCACTGCATGTCAGGGGAAGTACGCTGAAGCTGAGCCACTCTATGCGCGGTCTCAGGCGATACAAGAGAGGGTTCTAGGCCGTGAGCACCCAGGCCTAATCGTGTTTCTCCATAACTGGGCAGCTTTCTTGGAGATGCAGGTGGAACCATCGTATCTCCAATCATTTGCTTCCTCGTTTTGATATTTGGTGGACCTGGCGAGCATCCTCTGCCGATATCTAGTCATTGGGCAATGTCGACGTGACCCTCCGTACCTTCGAGTTGCCGGACGTTTGGACAAGATGCCGGTTCCTGACTTGCTCGAGCTCCGGTGATTATTTTGAGAGTCAGAAGTCTTCTACGGTGCTGCGCATTGGGCGAGTGCCGTGGAACGACCTTGATTTAGTTGTGCGTGGTTCGCTTGGTGCTAAGGCGCATACATCCCGATCTTGATGCTTACATTTCGGCGTGAACCCATCCCATCACCGCACTGATGGCGCAGACTCTTTCAGCAGCTCTCTCAAAAGCGTTTACATCTCTAAAGCAAGTGTTCAACCAGCTGACTTTGTTGGCGTGTGAAGCGGCTGGCGTCTGGGTACTTTGCCAACAGAAGAGAGAACAATCGAGCAACTTAGTATCAAAGGCACACGTAGGCAGCCACGGGAACCTGTGTCCACGGGTCAAAGTAGCTGTGTTATTCTGCTGGAAAAAAGCTCGAGTGAGTGAGGAATTTCGCCTTCTCGAGGTTACACACTTAGCTGGTGGCAACTCGGCACGAGCCACACCACCACCCCATGCTCAAGGCCATAGTCTACACATGCACACGCACAAAGTCACGACCATCCCTAGGGCCCCTCTTTGTGCTCCTGCCAGAGACAATCGCTCGGTGCGCTGTGTGGTACTTCTCTCTTTTCTCTCCCAGCCCGGGGACGCTGAAAGCACATCCCTTTATAAGGGAGTTCGTAGGCTGTATTTGGCTGTTTGTCGTCTTTGACGCCCGCCACACTCCTCTCTTTAGCGCTTGGATGATACACAGAGCCATGATGTTGCACCATTTGCACGCATCCATCGGTCGTAAGTTCCCTGTCCCTCGTGTTATCTCCTTCCGTGTGAAAATTTGGGCCGACAAACCTGTCTGACGTGTCAATTTTGCCCTTGTCACGCATCTCCGGAGACTGCCGAAAATATCAAAATGTATACGGTACATATTTTTCGGCAGAATAAGACGAAAACGAATCTCGCTGCGTTTGCTCGACTCATTGATTTCCGATAATACAGGACTTTGACCGTTTTTCTCTCCGCAGTAAGAGGTATCGTCCTCAACGTAACCTAATACCAATTTTCCCTCCACTATCCAGGGCAAGTATGAGGAGGCCGAGCGGTTGTGCGAACGTTCCCTTGCCATCAGCAAGAAAGCTCTCGGACCTGACCATCCTCACGTGGCCTCATCGCAACACACCCTGGCAGGCTTGTTAATGAACCAAGTGAGAGCAGTCAAAGTCGTCCATAAAATGGTTGGTATGTCTGACATACTTTTGTGTGACCAATCTTTAGCAAGGCGAGCTTAGAAGGTGGGGTTTCAGGCAGGTATCTGACATACGTACCATCTCCTGAAGGAGGCACTTTTGGCGATTTCCCTCTTTCGTTGTTCGAAGTTGATACACAAGAATGTGCAGGGATCTTCTCCGAGCCGCCTTTGTTGAGTTGGTTTAGTTGGTTTTTGTCGACCACCGACGCACGACATCCGACCGAAACACGCCTCTGCCGCGCTGTTCCACCGCCTCTGCACGTTAGGGCAAGTACGCGGCAGCTTGGCAGCTCTATGTGCGATGTCAGGCGATACAAGAGGCAGTTCTAGGCCCCGAGCACCCACGCCTGGCCACAACGCTCAGTAACTGGGCAGCACTGTTGTACGAGCAGGTATCGAAGAACTGCAATTTCTCCCCTAGAACCATTCGTGTGGATTTACGCGTTTGTTCGGGCGTCTTAGCAGACCGCTGGCTCACATCCGGCTGATTTCTACACACATAAAAGCAGTAACGAAGATCTCGATCCTCTTGACGAAGATGTCGATCCTCTTTGCCAAGATTCGGTGGAAATATAAGGTACTGGGCCCTGACCGCCCCAGGTGACCATTGCTCCAGCAACGTTGTTCAGCGCTCCGCGATAGGATCTCCCGACCTTCGACATGACGCTGTCCCGTCTCCCCTTCCCTTTCCAGGGCAAGCTTGAGGAAGCCGGGCCGTTGTTTAAGCGCTCCCTTGCCATCAAGGAGAGAGTTCTTGGGCCTGATCACCCTGACGTGGCCACATCGCTCAACAACCTGGCATGCTTGTTAGAGAGCCAGGTATGAGCGGCCAAAGGTGTCCACAGATCGGGAGATATGTATGACTCTCCCTGTGGTGAGATGGCTGCCCCAAGCATAACAAACACTTCTGGAATGTGGTGGTTTGGCACGCATCTGGCGTACGCATCATCATATGAAGGAAGCACTTCGAGTGGGTTCGTTTTTGATTGTTTTGAACTCGCAGACAGACATGTCCTCTCAGCGCCATGTGACTGCATTACTTGCAAAGTGTTCGGTGGGCTGCTCCCTCAAAAGCCCCTGCTGCTTGCTACACGTGTTGAGCACGAAGAGTCGGATCCGCTTTACCTTCGAGCCTTTCAAGATCGCGAAGAAGACTCTTGACCCCGACTTGCACAAGGTTCGGCAAGGTTGTTGGCCATTTGTTTATCCGCCGTGGGATCTACCGTCCTGTATGATGACACGTCCCTGTCTCTCCCTCACATTTCAGGGCAAATATGAGGAGACTGGACCGTTGCACGAACGTTCCCTTGCCATCCGCGAGAAAGTTCTTGGACCTGATCATCCCAACGTAGCCGCAACGCTCATCAACCTGGCGGAATCGTTTCAGAGACAGGTGAGGGCGGTCAAAACCGTTCACGAAACCGAGCGGCATGTATGGACACTCTTAGGATTGCACGCATCCGGCTTACGTTTGATCGCCTGAATGAGTCACCCGTAGTGATTTCCCTCTCGATCATTTTGCATTCGCAGACAGGCTCTCAGCGACGCGATGTGATTGCTTTGATTGCAGTTCTTGCTGGATTGCTGCCTCGAAAGACCCTGCTCCTTGGGAAGCCTCGTCAACATTGTTGGTCAGGTATTTATCCACTTGGGATCTCAAATATTTAATCCCTTCTCTCCCTCACACTCCAGGGCAAGAATGAGGAAGCCGCGCCGCTGTTGGAGCGCTCTCTTGCCATCACCAAGAAAACTCTAGGACCTGACCATCCTGACGTGGCGGTAGTGCTCAACAACTGGGGGGGGTTGTTGACGAGCCAGGTGAGACCGTCTATTGCCGTTTATGACACGGGAGGCATGCAAGACTCAAACCTTTGTGTTTTTTTTACCTGCCCACGCATCGTCTTAAAGGAAGTGAGGTTGCACGCATCTGGCTTGCGTTTCATGACCTAAAGAAGGCACTCGTAGTGATTTCCGTTTTGGATGTTGGAAACTCGTATATTCAAATGTGCAGGAACCTTATCAGGGCCGCCATTTTGAATGAGTTGTTCAAGTGCTTGGTACAATCATTTTGATCGACCACAAGCGTGCTCCCTGGTGGTTCGATCTAGATCTGGCCTCGACTGCAATACGCCTCTGCCGCGCTGTCTCGCTGCACTCTAGGGCAAGCTTGAGGAGGCCAGGCCGTTGTTTGAGCGTTCTCTTCTCATCCGCGAGAAGGCTCTTGGACCTGATCACCCTGACGTGGCCACATCGCTCAACAACCTGGCATGCTTGCTAGAGGACCAGGTAAGAACGGTCAGAGTTGTCCACGAATCGGGAGATATGTATGACTCTCCCTGTGGCGAGAGGATTTGGCTGCCCCAAGCATAACAAACACTTCTGGAGTGTGGTGGTTGGCGCGCATCTGGCGTCGTATCGTCGCCAGAAGGAAACACTTCGAGTGGGTTCCTTTTTGATTGTTTTGAACTCGCAGATAGACATGTCGAGGAGCCTCTCAGCGCCGCCATGCGATTGCATTTCTTGCAAAGTTCTTGCTGTGCCGCTGTTTCAAAGCCCCCGCTGCTTGCTGCACGCGTGAAGTACGAAGAGGCGGATCCGCTGTACCCTCGAGCCTTTACCCCGACTTGCAGAAGGTTCGGCAAGTTGTTGATCACTTGTTTATCCGCCGTGGGATCTACCGTCCTGTTCCATTGCATATTCCCGGCTCTCCCTCACATTTCAGGACAAATATGAGGAGGCCGGACAGTTGCACGAACGTTCCCTTGCCATCTGCGAGAAGGTTCTTGGACCTGATCACCCCGACGTAGCCGCATCGCTCAACAACCTGGCATGCTTGTTAGAGAGCCAGGTGAGGGCGGTCAATGTTGTCCACGAAACCGAGCGGTATGTATGACCCCCACTCTGGGTGGGCCCAAGCATGACATTTCGCACTTGCAGCAATTTCCCTCGTGATTATTAGAAATTTGCGAAACAAAATTAGGGGAAATCTTAACAGGGCCGCCGTTCGGTGGCATTGGTAAAAGTGTTTTTCATCGACCACTGCCTCACGTCAGCCGGGTATGGTTTCTGACATCGTTTCCCCCCGTGGTTCGATCTAAGGTGATTCGACCTCGACTGAAATATGTACGCCTCTTCGGCGCTGCCCCACTGCATTTTAGGGCAAATACGCTGAGGCTGAGCCTCTCTATGCGCGGTGTCAGGCGATACAAGAGAAGGTTCTAGGCCCTGAGCACGCAAGTCTGGCCACAACGCTCAACAACCGGGCAGGCTTGTTGCAGAGACAGGTGAGAGCTGTCAAAACCGGTCACGAAATGGGAGAGTGGCGGGTTTGCTGAGGACGCAGGTGACCATTTGTAAACGCTCGTTTTTTTGGTGGGGTGTTTGGTGAACCGCTGGTACATGGTCTCCCGCTGCATGACCTGCCATACACAACGCAGGCACGGCAACGCCGACTCATTTGGCCTGAGAGCTTTGAGATTTGGTCGAAGATGGACCCTGAGTTTTCAGAAGTTCCGCCGATCCTGTTGAGCATTTGTTCCTCCGCAGTACAAAGTGCAATCCTCAACTTAACCTAGGCCTATATTTATCTCTTCCCCCTCGCATTTCAGGAAAAATATGAGAAGGCCGTGTCGTTGTACGAACGTTCCCTTGCCATCGTGGAGAAAGCTCTTGGTCCTGATCACCTCAGCGTAGGCACATCTCTCAACAACTTGGCGGGCTTGTTGGAAAGCCAGGTGAGAGCGGCGAAAACCGTTCATAGAGCGGGAGGCATGTGTGATTCACATTTCTTTGTTGACTCGCATTTGTGTGTCGTAGTTGGCCGCATCAAGCAAATTTCTAAGGCGGGGTTGCAGATATCTGACTTGAGTATCACTGCCTGATGGAGGCACGTTTCAACTTTTCCTCGTGATTGCCTGAACCTTGAGAACCGAAATTCGGAGAAATATTATCGGGGCCGCAATTTATTTCAATTGATGTTGATCGACCAGCGCCTTCCATCAACGGGGCGAGGTATCTGAAAGCATGTTCCCTATCAGTTTGATCTAGATCCGACCTCGACTGCAATACGCCTTTGCCGCGCTGTCCCGCTGCACTGAAGGGCAAGTACGCTGAGGCTGAGTCGCTCTATGCGCGGTGTCAGGCGATACAAGAAAAGGGTCTAGGCCTTGATTCCCAACGCCTGGCCACAACGCTATACAACCGGGCGGCGCTGTTACACAAGCAGGTAGTACATAGGAGCGATAAGAGTTTTCGCGAAACTCGTTGCCGTGCTCTGCGGATGTGTAGTGCTTTAATGACGGGCGACTTTGTGGAGAAAAATGAGAGGGATCCTCTTTTTCGGACAAAATACAGGCGAGTTTGCTGCGATTGTTCGTAACTCGACACCAAGCTCTATTCAGTCTACTTCAGTGATTTTGGCCTTGAACATGTGAAATCATCACCCAGAAATGTATGGGAGCTTCCTAGAGCCGCCATTGGTGGTTGGTAGGCTAGTTGAAGTGTTTCGTTCAAAACATTTTTGATCTACGACGGCCTTACGATAACCTGGCGTGGTAGCTTATCGCATGTTCCCGAGCGCAGTTCGATCTAGAGCTAACCTCGACTGATTTCGCCCTCTACCTCGCTGTTCCTCTGCACTTCAGGGAAAGCACGCTGAAGCTGAGCCGGTCTATGCGCGGTGTCAGGCGATAGAAGAGGGAGTTCTGGGCCCTGAGCACCCAAGCCTGGCCACAACGCTCAACGGCCGGGCCCAATTGTTGACGACTCAGGTGAGAGCATTGAATGGTACCCCTTGCGGTTACAAGTGCTGGAAGACGGGGACACGTTTGTTGAATATTTATTCCTCCGCCACCTCTTGTACCAGCCTTTGACTACACTCCTATCGGGTTTCCCTCTTGAATCCCAGATAATGTTGTTGAGGCTGACCTTTTCTGCCGTTGAGCCGTGAATATTGAGATAGATAATGCTTGATCCTGAACGCTCGAACGGTATTCAACAATCTGGCGCGGTCGTAGAGAGGTTGTTCCTTTTTCTTTGCTCTCTTGATCGCACTCGTGCTGCGTTTTCGTCGCCACCTTCGAGGGCAAATACGAGAAGGCCGGACCGTTGTACGAACGTTCCCTTACCATCCGCGACGAACTCTTGGGCCTGATCACCCTGACGTGGCCTCACCTGGCGTGGAAGATGATATCATTTCCCGCATCATCCGATGTTGACCCGACATCGACTGAACTATATACGCCTCTGCCGCGCCTCCCCATTGCACTCCAGGACAAGTATGCTGAGGCTGAGGCCCTCTATACGCGGTGTCAGGCGATAGTCGAGAAGACTCTAGGTCCTGAGCACCCAAGCCTGGCCACAACGCTCGACAACCTGGCAGTAGTGTTGTACAAGCAGGTGAGAACGGTGATATTTTTCCCTATAACAGTATCGTTCGTGTAGATTTATGCAGATGTTCGGGTTTCTTAGCAGACCGCTGCCTTGCATCCGCGTTTTCTACCACACAAAACAGGAACGAAGATATCGATCCTCTTTGCCAACATGGTGGCAGTAGAAGATGCTGGCCCGCCCAGGTTGACAACAGCTCCAGCGACCCTGTTCAGCATTTGTTGATCGTCGATGGGTAGGGTGTACGATCCTCTATCCAAACCTTTGTCCCGTGATTCCGTGATATTCCAGGGCAAGTTCGGGCAGGCCAGGCCGTTGTTTGAACGTTCCCTTGCCATCGTGGAAAAAGATCGAGGATCTGATCACCTTGACGTGGCGACATTGCTCGGCAGTTGGGCGGGCTTGTTGAAGGACCAGGTGAGAGCGGCCCACGACACGGGAGGCATTAATGATTCAGAGTTACATGTATATGATACTTGTTTGTGGTGTGGTTGGCTGCAACAAGAAGAACAAGCTCGGATGTTGGGTGTCATGCTGGTACCTGGCTTGTACATTCTCTCTAGCGGCGTTTTGAGCGACCTCTTGACTATTTGAAACTCGTAAACCGAAATGTGATGGGATCTTCTCGGGGGCACCATTTGGGTGCAGTTGGTTCAAGCGATTACGATCGTCAACTCCCTCGCGGCAATCGGGCTGGTAGCTGAAATGCTGTTCCCATGCATTTCGATCTAGATCCAACCTTGACTGAAGTACACCTCTGCCGCGCTGCCCCACTGCACTTCAGGGTCAATACGCTGAGGCTGAGCCGCTCTATGCGCGGTGTCAGGCGATAAAAGAGAAGACCCTAGGTCCTGAGCACCCAAACCTGGCCGCAACGCTCGACAAACTGGTAGTAGTGTTGTACAAACAGGTGAAAACGGTTGTATTTTCCCCTATAATAGTAGCATTTGTGTAGTTTTACGCGTTATTCGGGTTTTTTACATCGTAGCAAACCGCTGCCTCACATCCCGCTGTTTTCTACCACACAAACCAGGAACGAACTTGTCGATCCTCTAGATGGTAGCAATAGCAGATACCTGGCCCGCCCTGGTTGATAACAGATCCGGCGATCCTGTTCAGCATTTGGTGATCGGCGACGGGTAGCATGTGCGATTCTCTAACCAAACCTTTGTCCCGTGATTCCGTGATATTCCAGGGCAAGTTTGGGCAGGCCAGGCCGTTGTTTGAACGTTTCCTTGCCATCGTGGAAAAAGATGAAGGGTCTGATCACCCTCGCGTGGCGTCATTGCTCGGCAATTGGGCGGGCTTGTTGAATACCCAGGTGAGAGCGGTCCAAACCGTTCACGACACGGGAGACATTACTGATTCAGAGTTACATATATTATGTTATGTGGTGTGGTTGGCTGCCCCAAGCAGAACAAGCTTGGAAGTTGAGTGTCATGCTGGTACCTGGCTTACGTATCATTTCTAGAGGCGTAAGCGACCTCTTGATTATTTGAAGCTCGTAGTCCGAAATGTGATGGGACCTTCTCGGGCACCATTTGGGTGCGGTTGGTTTAAGCGATTACGATCGGCAATTCCCTCGCGGCAATTGGGCTGGTAGCTGATATGCTGTTTCCATGCAATTCGATCTAGATCCAACCTTGACTGAAGTACGCCTCTGCCGCGCTGCCCCACTGCACTTCAGGGCCAATACGCTGAGGCTGAGCCGCTCTATGCTCGGTGTCAGGCGATAGAAGAGAATGTTCTAGGTCTTGAGCACCCAAGCCTGGCCATCACTCTCAGCAACCGGGCGGGCGTGTTGTTTAGTCAGGTACGTGTTCGAATTTTCCGAGAAATCTCCTGACGTGCTCGGCGGATTTGCTGAGAATACAGACGAGGAGCTGTCATATTTTTTCCGATCTAATGTTTGGCCGTGTTTGTTGTCGTGCTTCCTTCGCAATAGCCCGGACCCCACCTCACTCGCCATGTGTTTTCCCCACATTCCAGGGCAAGTGTAAGGAAGCCGCGCCGCTGTTGGAACGCTCTCTTGCCATCCGCGAAAACTCTCTTGGACCTGAACACCCTGACGTAGCCACATCGCTCAAAAACCTGGCGGTCTTGTTGCATAACCAGGTGAGAGCGTTTAATACCGTTCAAGGAACGGGAGGCATGCACGACTCAAACTCATGTGATGTTTTGTACTACCACAAGCATCGGTTTGTAGGACGTGGAGGGTTTGGTAGCATTTGGCTTGCGTTTCATCGCCTGAAAGAGGCACTTGTAGTGATTCCCTTCTTGGTTGGTTGAAACTAGTAAATCAAGACGCGCAGGGATCTTGTCAGGGCCACCATTTGGTTGGGTTGGCTCAAGTGTTGTCGTCGACCACTGGCTTACGTTTAACTCGGCGTGCTAGCTGATAGCATGTTCGCTCTCAGTTCGATCTAGATCCGACCTCGACTGCAATACGCCTCTTCCGCGCGCTGTCCCGCTGCATTTTAGGGCAATGGCGCAGAGGCTGAGCCGCTCTTTGCGCGGTGTCAGGCGATAGAAGAGAAGACTCTAGGCCCTGAGCACTCAAGCCTGGCCTCAACTCTGAACAACCGGGCGTATTTGTTACACAAGCAGGTGAGAGCTGTCACGAATTTTTCATGAAGGTTTTCAGGGCTAATGTTGTCTTGTGTAAATATGTAAATATGCATGTGACTGTTCTTGGTGGGGTTCTTGGTAGACCGCTGGTACACCCATGCCGCTGCCTCGGCCTGCTAAAGGCAAGGCGGGCACGACAACGCCCACTCGTTTGGCCTGAGAACGGTTGGTCGAGGATGCTGGGCCCTGCCCACCTCCGTTTACAACAGCTCCGGCGATCCTGTTCATCACGTGTTCCTCCGCAATTGTTGTTGTTGTTGCTGCTGCTGTTGTTATCACGCTAATAACCCCCAGGTCACCTTAAAGTACCTCCAAATGTCCGAGTTTTTTTGCGTTCTCACGGGCACCCATCAGGGTTCTCGACAAAGTACGACATAATACAAGCGGATCCCAAAGAATCAACACCAAGCGAAAAAGCTATCAAGAACAGAACAATAATATACAAGACCCACATGTGTGTCGCAGGTTCACCTCTTGCATAAACACTTGCCATATGAGCTCCATTCCGACAGAAACAAAAGAAAGACATTCATCCTCACATCTGTAATACAAACGCCCAGATGTTACATGTCCGGGTTTCCGCCGGCCAGCCCCCCCCCGCCACCCTTGGCTCTTCATCAAAAGTCAAGGCAGTAGCGGGAAGAAATAACAACACAAACACGAAGGTGGGAACACATATGACGAGCACGAGACGAACAAGACAAGAAATGAGGCGGTGGGGTGGGTGTGTTGCAAGACAGTGGATGCCGCAGACACATTTTCCTTTGTAGGCAGCTAACACCGACGCCAAAAGGCATGGACCAGGAATGTCCCCCCTCGCCCGAGTCCCTTCTTCCTTATCCTATTGCGGTAGTTCCATTTGCTTCCCGATCTCTCGCAATGTGCCGAAGTCGACTGGCCTCTTCTTTTCTCGCTGGCCTCCTTTTTTTCTCGTGCCACGCCGCCATGAACTTGTCGCCTCCCTCCTTCACCCCCTTGTACCATGCCCCCCCCCCATCCTGCCGGGCAGCTAGCAGACGGCGTGGTCGACTTCGAAAGTCAACCACCTATCTTCTGTTGAACCAGTAGGTGGCCTCCAGCGCCTTAACATTGTCTGCCAGTGACTTCCCCCAGGGTTGCGCCCCGTCGACCCGGACGCGGCTTCTCCTCCCCCACTTGCACCCCGAACATTAGACGTTTCGGAAGCCTCCAGTCTGCTTGTCTCGCCAGACCTACGGCGAACAGGACTTGCCGCTGGCGGGTGATAGCCTCCGCGCTTTGGCCCTAGGTCAGCTTCAAAGCTTTGCCATACCTGGCGACATGTGCCTTGGACACGGCGCTACCCAATGACTTCCAGGAAGAGTCCGTAGTGGACGCGTGGTGCCGGCGCCATGCATCCGTACAGCAGAACCTCCACTGCTTCCGCGTTCAGCAGGCGCGCCCGGGTGCTGTCCATCGGTGGAACAGTGTACGGGAGACGTTCTTGACGCATCCCCACGCAGCTTCGTTCTGAGGCGAATCTTGGGCACGAGCTCTCGTCTTTGGTGGTTACGCCGCCCACATGTCGGAACTCAGTTGGTTAGAGCGTTCGTTTGGCCTGCGGCCTTACTATCAGTGATGGACGGGGCGGCGGTGGCGGTGGCGGTGGCGGTGGCTACCCTTTTCGTTTACTGCTCTGCCACCGGTACGATCCACTAAACCTATATATCCCTTTCTTGCCCTCATTTCAGGGCAGAACAGAGGAGGCCTGGCCATTGTACGAACGTTCCCTTGCCATCGTGGAGAAAGATTTAGGTCCTGACCACCCTCGCGTAGCCACATCGCTCAAGAACCTGGTGGACTTGTTGGAGAGTCAGGTGAGAGCGGTGAAACCCGTTCGTGAAACGGGAGGCATGCATTACTCAAATTTATGTTGTGCAGGTTGGCCACCCCGAGCAGAATAAGCTTTTACGGTGGGGGGTTTGAAGGAGATATCTAGCCTGAGTATCACCTCGCGATGGAGGCATTTCCAGTGATTTTCGTCTTACTTTTTTTGAACTTGTATATCGAAATACGGAGGATCCAAATCAGGGCCGCCATTTGGTTGAGTTGGTTGAAGTGTTTGCGATCGACCACCGTCTCATGTCAGCCGGACGTATAAACTTGGTTTGTATTAACTCGTAAATCGAAATGCGCAGGGGTCTCATCAGATCGGGGTCGCCATTTGATTGAGTCCTTTGTCTCGTCACCCCGCCACACTCGGGCGTGTTTGTTGTTATCGTCCATTCCTCCGAACTACTGTAACCCTGACCCTGCCTAACTCGCCATGCGTTGTTTCCCCATGTTCCAGGGCAAGTATGAGGAAGCCGCGCCGCTGTTGGAACGCTCTCTTGCCATTGCCGAGAAAGCTTTAGGATCCTGACGAGGCAACAATACTTTAACAAATTTGGTCGCTTTGTCGCAGAAGCAGGAACGAGCCGTGGGTACCTTCCAGTAAAACTCTTGTGGTTCCCTATCGAGTCATACGGTTTGTTCCTGGTGATCATGGGTTGAACGTTAGGAGCTTGAAGCCGACACAGCTGTGCCTAGATGACCGTTAGTCACCGACTCGTCAAGGTTGTCATAAGGACAGGCCGCCTGCCGACTCTGTCCGCAGATAGGTATGCGAAGGACCAGGGGAGAGAAAGAGATGCGAGTGACGTCCGATATTAGCATGCGAAACACGTCGTCTATGCAGTCTTATCCTCGATCACGAGGCAATATTAAGTAGAGTGTCGCACGTCATGCGGTCGAGCCAGGGGTAACGCCAACACGAGGCCAGCTTATCATTGGTTCAAAAGGGGTGCAGTTCTTTTCGGGTACATCGATACTGCAAAAATCAATCCAGTTTGTCATCTTGCTGCACACAATACCAACTGTACACCCCGGTTTTCCTGGCAGCAAAAGCCTCATCGTGTTTTTCCCTGTTTACCAATCACCGTCTTTAGCCCCCCCCCCCGGTGCGTCATGGTATGCAACGAGGGCAGGGAGGAACCAGTAGAACATAGATGGAAGTGGGGGATCGAGGAGATTGCAGTAGTCGACCAGTACACATACCTCGGAGTAGAGATCGCAAAAGATTGCTCGTGGAATGCACACATGTCCAAGGTAGCGGAAAAGGGCAAAGAACGAGCAGGGAAGCTTCACCCAATACTCGCAAACCGGCACCTTGATACACGCATCAAATTGACGGTTTTGAAGAGCGTAATCGTACCGCCGCTGGAGTACGCCGGAGAAGTATGGGAAGGAAATAAGAAGGTAGTGAAAGAACTCGAGGCGGCGCAGATGAAAGCAGCGAAAATCATCCTAGGATGCTCCAAGCGCACAAGTAATGCAGCAGTCAGGGCAGAATTGGGGATCCAATCCCTACGGTCGGGAAGAGACGTAAGGAAGCTGACATGGCAGTACCGCATGTGCGGGATGGGAGAGGAGAGGTTGCCGAGAATAGTATGGGAGGCGAAGTGGGCAAACAAAAAGAGGGGTAGACAACCCACGGAATGGGTCAAGGTTGTAGAGGACGTATGGAAGGGATTGGACATCGACGAAGATGAAACGCTGGAAACGGAGGGTCTACAGGGGTTCAAGAAGAAGATATCTGTTGCTTGTGCCGACAGAGAAGAACAGAATCTAAGGAAAGAATCCAAGGATAAGGAGGGTCTAGAAGTGTACGGAATGTTGAAAGAAGGAATAGGGTTCAAGGATTACCTACATGGACCAATGGATGCAGGGACAAAGCTTAAGGTCAAATTCAGGACCGGGGGCATAGGCCTTCGCGAACGTCGACGAAGACATAGGACGGTAGACGACGAAGACGACAAGTTCAAATGTGATTGCGGCTTCGAATGCGAAGACCGTGTTCATGTAGTCGCGGAATGTCCGTGGTACGGAAAGGAGAGGGAAGTGTACATGACTGAGCTGGGAAGAATACAAGGGACATACAGGGAGATGTTTGAGGCATGGAATAGAGAGGAGAGGACGGTAGCGGTACTGGGGAGTAGGAAGTGGTTTGAAAAGGCGGGAAGTGACATCGGTAGGATAGACAGACTAGGGAATACATTTTTGAGCCACCTTTGGCAAAGTAGGAAGGAACGATTGGCCATCGGTGATCGGTCCTGTGGGAACAATGCTCCGTCCTCTCGAGGACGCGTGGTCAATGGTCTAACCGCTAAGGCATGCAAAGCATAAGAGTACGCCCCCCCCCCCCCAACCCCC